GCTATTCCTTCAGCCTGGAACATTCCTCTCCCAGGTGATGGCATGGCTCACACCCTCTCCTTCTGGTCTTTCCTTAGATGTCACCTTCTCAGGGAGGGCTTGTCTGACCATTTTATTTAAATCTATAACCCCACACCCTCTACTCCCCACACTCCCTATCCCCATATCTGCTTTATTTTCCTTCATGTCATATGTCATCTTCCGTCACGTGATACATTTTTACTTATTAATCATCTGTGTTCTCTCACTAGAATGTCAGCGCCACAAGGGTGGGGATTTTTGTCTGTTTTATTCACTGTTGTATCAGCGGCACACAACGGACACAATAAATATCTGTTGAATGAACTTAAACACTTCATGGGGAGAAGCAGGAAAAATACAAAAGTCAGACAGACCTGGACTGACTCTCTCTGAGCAAATTAACCTCACTGGGCCTCAAGTTTCCGCATCTCTAAAAAGGGGGTCCGAGGAGGTCATGTGCAAACCCCCTGCCACCCCAGGATAGAAGCTGCCACACAGCGCACAGTTATTTGAGCTGTTCCTCTCCTTGCTCACTGGCCCATGCTGTCCTCTAAGACCTCCCTTCCTCACCTGTGCCTTTTGCCAGTGGAATCTGAGCAGCCCGGGCCAGAGGCTCTGAGTCCTGTGAGCCGTCAAGTGTCAGGACAAGGAGGAGTCAAAGGTTCCAGACACTCAGGGCTTAGGGCCTCTCCCCAGAGAGCTCAGCAGACCTCAGACGGCCAGGCTTCCTGTGCCTGTGGGGGGCCAGGGAGGGCTGACAAGAGGAGGGTCATGTTGGAAAGGAAATGGCAAGGGTGGAGGCCAGCATGGGCAGGAGCTCACCTGCTGATTTCAATCAATCCTCAGCCCTGGAGGCAGAGACTCTCATTATCTTCATTTCACAGATGAGGATGTCAAGGCTCAGCGAGGGGAAGAGTCTCGCCCAAGGTCTGACTCTAAAGCCCCACTCTTGATCTCTATGTTACACTGGCCAGGGCAGAGCATCAGAATCACCTGGGGAGCTGGTGAAACCGAAATATGCTGGGGCCCGCCTAGACATACTGACTCAGAGTTTCCAGGGGTGGGGTCCAGGTGTCTGTAGTTTTCACAAGCTGCCATTCGCATTCCCCCAGAGAGGACTCCCACAGTCTCCCCCACCCACCCACGAAGCCGCTGACCTCTGGGTTGGCAGCCATTGACCTTTGAGAGGCTTCATGTATTCACTCTTTCCTCCAGGGGCATGTGGGCGAGTGGTTTTCCTCTGGGGGCTTGGGAGTTCCCTAAAAACTCAAGTGCTGGAAAGGGGCGGGTGCCAGGCCCATGGTTCTATAGTTTCCAGCTTTCAGGAGTAGATGCAAATGGGGATTTGGGGACCCTTAAAAGCACTGAGCAACGACTGCAGAGAGAATGAATAACCTCCCTCTCTCCTAGATGGCCTAGAGTCTTTAAACGTATCTAGGTGCTAAATGAGTCTTTTAAAACATACAGAGCCTTTTAAGAGTTATTGAACGTATTTTTCTCAACCAGTGGGTACTAAAAGCATAACTGCGATCATGAGAGAGGAGCACTGGGAATTTTCAAAGGTGGGAATCTCTGGATTAGCTGTGTGTCTGCTCAGAGCAAGGAGGGGCTGGAGGGGTTGGGTGTGGGCATCAAAGGAAAGACAGAGGCTCAGAAAAGGGAAAGGAGAGGCTGCATCAAGGATCAATTTCGTCTGTTTGATGTACTTCGTTAAAATTTATTTTCGTAGGCTAGCTGGATAGCTTGGTGATCCCCAGTTCAACTCTCTAGCTTTACAGATGGGAAACTGGAGGTTCAGGGATGGGTGGTAACTTGCCCACGGTCACCCAGCTGGGGAGCAATACAGGTCAAAGCCTGTGTGGCTCTGAGTCAAGTGCTCTGCACATCATTGAGTCATCCTCCCCTTCCTCCCCATCCTAGCCTGAGGAGGTCAGCAGCAGGTGGGGGTCAGGGCAAAGCGGACGACCTCAGCCAGCAGATTCCTGGACTGGAGTTGTTCTTAATTTCCTCTCTAACAAACAGAAAGTTGTTGTCCCTCTCCAGAGAAGGCAGAGCGGAAGCTCAGAGACTCTTGGTAAGCAAGAGACCCTCCCTGGGTCCCAGGACTGCCCTGAGTGCTGGTTGGAGGCTCAGGAGCCTGGAAGACCTGACAGAGCCAAGTAGGGGTGCCCAGTCCGCCTTCCCTCTGCTCCTGCCAGTCAAGGGGAAGTGGCAGGCCTGCTGCCTCCTGAGATCCTCATGAGCCGGAGACATGCAGCTCCATCCACACCCCCATCCCAGGCCCCTCCCCCCATGTGACAGTCATGGAGGAAGGAGGCCAAATTCTCAGCTGATCCCCCACCAGGCCTAAAACCGAAACTGCTCCCCTAGGGAAGAGAGTGTGGCCGTTGGGAAACCCATCATTCCCAACGTTCCCTGGCCTGCAGCCCTCTGTCAGGACAGCTACTCACTCCTAAAATTCTTTAGAGAAGGAGGCTCTGGGGACCCCGCAAAAACTCACAGTTCTCAACTCCTGAGGAATTTTGTGCTCTACCTAAATCCACCCTGGGCAGAAATGCCATTCCTATTGGTCTATTTTTACTTTTCCCAAACCAACTGGACAAAGGCCATTGTACCCTCAACAGGAATTCAAAGAGAGGAAAACCCGTCTGATCTCTCCCCTAAGGCTCCTCTTCTCCAGAGAAAACAATCCTGCTTCCTTGGGCTACTTCTCAGAGCCCTTGCTGTTCTTCCTCCTCCCTCCGGCCTTGCCACGGCTTTGCCAGCGACAGCCCTTCTGCCAACACGTCAGGGGAGATGTGGTGACTGTCACAAGCAGACATAAGCTTGCCCTGGGCCGGTACAGGTCTCCTGCCTGGTCCCAACTGAGCACCCCAAGGCCATGGACAGTTTTAATGAGGACAAGCTAACCCCAAGATCTTTTCCCTTCTGCCCAAGTCTTTTCAGGGGTGGGAGTGGCCCTGCTGGCATATCTCTCTCATCTGCTTCTTCCTCTGACTTCTGACCACTTCTCTATTGCTCTTTTGCCTTTCCGGCATCCCCACCCCCAACACTATCACTACTTCCTCCCATTCGAGCATCCACCACTACGAGTTTGGGAGAGAACTGTCTTCCCTATCCTTCCCTCCTATGGCAGGGGCCCTACCATTTCTGCCCGACTCACCACCTGGCCCAAGACCAGATTCCCAGAGTGGACAAGTTATCTGTCGAGTAGGAGAGAAATCTACCATTGATCCCGTGTGAGCAGAGACGCTGAAGGCAGCGGGCTCAATTTGAGCTGTGATGTGGTAGAGACAGTGGACTGTTCAAGCATGCAAGCTCCCCATGGAATCTTCCCTGCGAATACTCAATCTGTGGGGGCGGGGATGGGGCATTGACCCAGTTAGAGGCCAAGACAGAGGTTAGGAAAACGGAAACCACCTGAGGGCTGTACCCTCCATATGTAAGAGGCACAGAGAGCCTGGAGAAGTCATAGGGGCCACAGATAATGGAGAGGTAAAAAATGATACTTTGGAGACAACAAACTATGGAGGTTGAGATTGCTCCCACAAGATATTAAAGGGGCAGAGTCGGAGGTGGATGTAGGGCCCAGTTTCTGCAGGGATGGATTTTGCATGATCCGCCCTTCTTCTATGTATACGGAAGACCCCACTAGACGGCATGATCTGCAATAAAATAACTTAAGTAGAACGTGAGGAAGAACCCGCCTGTTGGGAAGTTCTCCTAAATGATCAAAGGTGGTAGTCAACTCTCTTTCCTGGTAGAGTAAAGGATCATTTATTGGGTACTCATAGGTCTAGCTAAGGGATAGATTATGGGATAGGACCAGTTTGGGACATCCAAGTTCTTTGCGTCCAAGTTCAGCAAGGCAGAGGGTTGGAATGGGGGTGGGGCACAATGCCTATCCTGTCCCATTCATCTCTCTCAGGTTTCCAGATACCTCTACCTTGGTCAGTAAGAATGGAGGTTTCCTTGAGACTGCATCCCTCTCTTGGGGGTGCCCAGGGGACACACCAGGAATCTAGAGCCTAACCTCATGCGAGGTACATAGTTAGTGCTCAATAAATATTTGTAGAGTGAATGAATGAACCCCAAGGCAGGTCCCAGGGAGCTGAGGCCTCCCCTGCTCCTGTCTCCCAGTGTTCCCTGTTTCTAATGGCCTAGGCCTTTGCTTCTTCCCCACTAAGCAGGGTGCAGAAGGCAGCACTAACCCAGGCCTGGAGGCAGAAGGAGAGCAGTTTTCCGGCATTCCAGGAATTCTCTAGGGCCAAGTAATGAACTTTAGGGCAGTCACTGACAGGGCTCTTCCTGGGATCAGGTTCCAGCCTCTCCCTACCTGAGGTCTCAAGGCCTAAGGTAAACTGTTACCAACCTGGTGTGTAGGGGGAGGGGGATAGTGAACTGGGCAGCAGTATAATGGGGTCTTCAGTCCTTGCCCCTTACTGGGTCTGTCCCACCTGGGAGACAGGGCTCAGAGGAGTTGTTCTCCTGCCAAGGGTGACGGAGCCAGCCTGGTCTGGGACTGGGAGAGGCTCTTTAAGCCTCTCTCTTAGCTCAGGGAGGAAGTGACAGACAAGTACTAGCTAACTGTCTCTCTTCAAAGCCAGAAGGAAGCGGCAGGAAGGAGTAGGGTGCGTGCCTGAGCTTGACTCTGGGGAGACATGTGTGCTCATCAACTGGAGTCTGGGATGTAGCCTGGCTCGTGGCCCTCAGAACCCACGATGCCACCTCCACCCTCCTGACAGTTAGGGGGCAGGGCTCTGGGCGATGGCTCTGCCTGTACCTCCGCGGGCCTCTGGAGAGTGGGCAGTAGCATCCACCAGGCCATGTTGCCCCGGTTAGTCAGTACCAGCCCCCACCCCAGGCCTAGGCCTCTGGATGGCTGGGTGACCCGGCAGCAGCACAGTGTTCACGCCTGGCTCCCAGATGGCAGGGACCAGTGAGGTGCCCGCCTCCCCTGGGCCCCAGGTGCCCCTCACCTTGAGCTGGGACTTGGAGACCTTGCCGCTCTTCTCTACATCCAGTGCGGTGAAAGCGTACCAGATGGACTTAAGCAGCTCCTTGCGCAGGGCCATGGCTGAGGCGCCCGCCCGGTTGGGGGCGGCTCTGACACCGAGATCCGGTTTCAGGAAATGCAAACGGCTGCAGAGACCGAGACCGCAGAGAGGCCATGGCGCAGAGCGAGAGCTCCACCTGCCTGCTTGCGCAGGCTCCCCATGCTGGTGGAACCGGCCCGTTGCTCTCGCAGTGCTTGGTGGCCCCACTCCCTCTGCACAGGAACTGGGGACCAAACCCTGGGGACCTAGAGCCCCAGTTCTGTTCAGCCTGGTTCCCTGGGCGTGAGGCCCTTTAGAAGCCTCCTCTGTCCCAGAGCCTGCTGGGGCTTCCTGGGCTCCTGGAGGCGGCTCACTGAGGGAAAAAGCAAGCCCATGCTGACTTTGGAGTCCAATAGGAGGAGGGGGGGGTTCCTGTCTCAATTCCACACTTACAGGGGGGCGCTCGGATAAGTTACTTAACCTCCTTGAGCAGTTTCCTCATTGGTAAAGCAGGAAAAACACCACCTTGCAGAGTTGTAAGAAGGTCAGAATGATGTAAAGCACAGAGTAGGCCCTGGATGAAGGCATCTACCACCTCTGCGGTGGTGGGGTTCCTCCCAAGTGGGAGAAAACAAAGGCAACAACACAGAATTGGAGGAGGAACTGGGCCAGGGCACCTCTCCAGGTCAGGCGAACTCGGCACGTGATGAGCTGCCTCCCCATCCTCTAGGCTTTGGCTCTAAAAGGCACTCACAGCATTGCCCACTCTGGGGCCCTCTGGCCCTGAAGACCTGGAGACTGTTTCTGAAGCACTTGGGGGTGAGCTTTGTGGTGGGGCCCAGCTTCAGGGGTGCTGGCAGCATGAGGCTTGGGATTCACGGCCCTCCACATCAGTGCTTCCATCTCTTTAGATCCAATGCGTGTGAGGGCTGGGACACACCCCTGCCAGGAACGGTGGACATGGATGCTGAAAACCCCACTCAGGCAAATGAGATAACCCCCTCCCTGGGGGCATGCCCCAGCCACCTCTGCTTCCATGGGGCTGGTTGCAAGAATAAATGGGAGCCTGCCAGGCAGCCCAGGAGAGGATGCCTGGGTTCGGGGAGAGGGTTCCATTCCTAGGTGGCAGGAGGGAGCTTGGGGCACATCCATCACAGTGGAGAGACAAAAAGAGGCACCTCCACTCCCTGCAATGTTCCTGCGCAGGAGGGGGCAAACCTCAAGTTCTTTCCAGCAAGTCCCTTCCCCTGCATCCCTTCTTTTCTGCCGGGGCTGGTCTGGCCCTATCATGCACTTTTCAGTGAGGTCCGACTGTGGCTTTGGAATTCCCTAGCATGGCCCAAGACACCTAGGTGGGCACCGCCAGAGCTGGGTACCAGAGCCAGGACTTCAGCACCAGGGCAGCAGAGGCATCAGAGATCCTCAATAACCTTGGCAAAGGTACCCCCGACCCCTATTCCAGTTGAGACTTTGCCCACTTGGAGTAGCTGACTGTGTGCAGCGTGTATGCAAGGGGTGGCTAGGTCTGGAGGGGCTCTGACTACGTGACACAAGGTAAGGTGGGAAAAACCAGATTCCTCCAGCCCAACCATCCTGAGGCCTGAGATCCAACCAGAGCCTGGCAGCACTGGTCACACTGGTCCTGCTTGGAGACCCTGGAGCCCATCTGCTCAGCCGAGGGCAGAAAGCCACTGGGAGCTCCCCAGGGCTTATCTTACACCCAGGCTTCCTCCCACCTGTGCTCCTGGCCGGGCAGTCCCAGCAGTCCAGCACCGAGGCTCAGTGGGGTCTACATCAGGGATCCAGGGCTAAGAACCTGATCGGACTGGCCCTGCCATCAGGGCCCAAAGCTGAAAGGAGGGAGGCAGGGACCCAGGTGGAAACTTGGAACTTTTATTAAATACTCATTCACCCATTTGCCACCACCGCCCAGAGCAGGAAAAAAAATTATCAAAATGGAATTAAAAAACAAAACAAATTAAACCCAATCCCCAGTATGTACAAGGCTGCTCCTTGCCTCTCTGCCACAGAGAGGTTTCGGGGCAGCTGGGGGGAGGGGTGCTGGGCACCTTTTCTCCAGCGACCAGCCCCTGAGCAATTCTGACTGCAGTGGCAGAAAGTCCCTGCTGCCAAGTGGCCAGGCATCTCAGCTGGCCTCCGGGGAGGTGGTTATTGCTGGGAGGGGCAGGGCTGGGCCTACTCTGCCCCTTCTGGGCTGAAGAGCTGCCTGCCTCTCGCCTGATGGACAGTGACCAGTCAGAGTGGAGGACCAGTCCTCACAGCAGCCCCAGTCGCCACCTGAGAGGGGGAGTGGACTGAGGGCGGGAAGGGTGTTCCCTGGAGGGAGGAGAGTGAGCGTCCAGCTGATTCTGAAGGGAGGACGCCCGAGTGCAGCCTGGTGATCAAGCTTGTCCTCCTTAGCTCCTGAGCATGACACACTCCCCTGATTCTAGATGTCCAACTCTCCTCTTGGGCAAGGCCTCTGTTGCCTTCTGTTAGGCTGTTTTCCTCCTGCCTTCTCGCCCTGGAGACCTACGTGGCCACCTTCCATGCGTCAGCCACAGCCTGGGCTCTTGGAGGCAAGCATGCCGGTGAGGCATAGCACCTCCTCCAACATGGTGTGGGAATCAGCTCTCTTGGGCTCAGCAGCCGCTCTCTGACTCTGTGGTCTCCAGGGTCACGGCCCCCCGCTGCATGGCAGCAGTGGCCACGCTGATGGCCTCCTCTAAGGTCTGCTGCTCCTCCAGCTGTGAAGGGGATGAAGAAGGAAGGAGAGAGTGAGACCCTCCCTCCTAGATTCTAGCGGTAGTAGTATGTGGCCTACTTTGTTGAATGCCCTCCATCTACCCAGTGCCACATGCAGAGCACTTAGTTGGGTCCCAATAAACAGGAAGTTCACTGATAAAGAATCCTATTAGGCTGGGCATGGCTAGGGAGTCACAGAATGGTCCAGAGTCAGAGGAATGGGCTTGCGCACAGAAGGGAATGACTCATTGGAGAGGACCTCAGTAATCATCTACTAAGCCTCCTTATTTTCCTGATGAAGAAATGGAGACATGAAGACATGAAGGGCTTAGACCACCAGGTAGACTGCCAAAGAAGTTATTCTGAAGGCCGGAAGGGGCTTCACCACTCTGCCTCAGTCAAGAAAGAGCCTGAGACAGATGTGTGGAAGTAGGCAGAACGGGATTTTTCCTCTGAAATGACCTCTTTTTGAGCCAAATGCCCTTCTCTTCCAGATCTCCATCTAATCCCCCTCCCCTCCTTGTTCCCTTTTCTGGTGGTGGGATCCCCCCAGGCCTCTACTCACCTGCACAGCAATGTGTGTTCCGTTGGCTGTGGCCAACAGCGCCACCTGTTGATGATGAAGGGATGCTACACTTGAGTCCTCGGCCACCACAGCCCCGGAGGTAATGATTGTGACCTGAAATACAGAAGAACGAGGTTTCCCAACCCACCTACATTGCTCTCCCTACCCCCAATCCAAACAGAAATTCCTCCAAGCAAGGTGACTGGGAACAATCCAGAAGGGAATGGATAAAACCATTATAGGTCAGATAATTAGCTTGGGGCTCAGAGCTAAGTGAGGTTGTGTTTTTCTCTAACTTACGGAACTTAATTTAGGGATTTTGAATCATAAGGACAGAGCTGTAAAAGGCCCCGGGGACAATTTAATCCTCTCATTTGAAAATGGACTGACGGGGCCGGCCCGGTGGCCAAGTGGTTAAGTTCACGCGCTCCGCTGTGGCGGCCCAGGGTTTTGCCGGTGCGGACATGGCATCGCTCGTCAGGCCACGCTGAGGGGGCGTCCCACATGCCACAACTAGAAGGACCCACAACGAAGAATATACAACTATGTACTGGGGGGGGCTTTGGGGAGGAAAAGGAAAAATAAAATATTTAAAAAAAATACATAAATAAATGAAAATGGACTGAAGTCCATGGAAAAGTGACTTGCCTTTGGTAGCAAAGCAAATTAGGGGTAGATTGAGATTTAGAAATTGTCCCTTGACCCCCAGTGAAATGCTTTTCAAGACGAGAGTTGCTGATGGCCCAGAGGAGCTGTGGGGAAGACCCTTTTCTGTGGGGGACCTCAGAAGAAGGCTTGAGTGGTTTAGCCTGCACTTTAACACCCACCCCACAGAAAGGAAAGACAAGAGAACAAGAAACCCCAAGCAAACCGCCTGGTCATACGGGCTGCGTCTGGGTGCCATCAGCGCTGACCATGGTGACTGTATGTGTGCCAGATGTGGCAAGGTCATCGTCATGACTGGGGATGGTGAGGGTGGTGCTGCCATGCTGTGTCACCATACTGATGGCACTCCCCAGGGCCTGCAAATCTTCTGGGGACAGGCTGACCTGTGGACAGGAAGAAGATGAGCTAGGAGTGCAGTGGAAGGTTGTCTGAAAGCCACTAGGCAGACATCTGCTCTCCCAGACAAGGTTAGCTTATCGGTAAACTAGATTAGCTTCATGTCACAGATGTGGAGGGGGTCAGAGACAAGCAAGTAAAACAGGTCTTAGGTTGCAAAGAGAGGCTACACCAGAATTCTGCTGATCACTTCTATTTATCACCACTTTGCCTCAGGGCTCTGTTCCATGCAATTCAGGGTCTCCACCTAATTTCATCCTCAGGTCAACTCCAAAAGGCAAGGTGCAGTCGACAGTGAGGGTGCTGAAAGGGGTCAGGTTACACTGCTGGCTAGAAACCTCAGGCTTCCAGACCCTACACCATGCTCTGGCCCCTACACCAATGTGCCTCTCTTGAGAAGGACATCCAAGTGTCTCATTCAGATGATGGCCTCCAAGTAAAGAGGGAAACTACCAACTGTGCTCCAGAACTCCCAGAGAGTGAGCTGGAAGCATGAGGAGGAGGAGGGGCTATGTTACAAGATTTGGCACCCTCAGCCTCAGCTCTCCAAGATCCATAAGGCTAAAAAGAGAAGCTAGGTAGAGGTAAGGCTGTCAGAACTTTGGAGCTCCCTAGAGAGAGTAGGAAATGGTACCAGAGCCAGAGTGGCCCACCCCACCACTAGCCCCAAGGCCTGTACCTGCTGGGCACCATCCTGAGTGATGAGAGCCACCTGGGGGGCCCCATCTTCCTCTGTCACCATGGCCACTTGGGCTGAGATGTCATCACCCTCTTCTTTCACCTCCGAAAGGTAAGCAATGCGGGGTCGTTTGGGTGGCGGGCTCTCCTCGGCTGCAGAGGCGGCTGGGAGAGGAGAGCCCAGGCTGACACCTGCCACTGGATGGCCATGGGGAGGTCTGGCTTGTCCCCACTCTCACCTCCTGCCCACGCCCCTCACCCTCGAGCTGCTGCTGCTCATAAAGGGCCTGCTCGCTCTCCTCCGTGGCCTCCAGCTCGCCGTGGGCACTGCGCTTGTGCATGGCCAGGGTGGAGGTCTGCCGGTAGGTCTTGCCGCAGGTGCTGCAGGTGTAGGGCTTGCAGTGTGTGTGCACCACATGGTGCTTATACAGGCTCGAGTACTCGGTGAAGCGCTTCCCGCAGCCTGGCACCGTGCAAACGTATGGCTTCTCCCCTGGGGACACTGGGCTGTGAGGGGGGTGGGAACTGGGGCTGGCAAGGGGGAAACTAAGGGGACAGGGTTGGGGGAGGGGGGTTGGTGAAGGGAGAGCCAGAGGGAGGGAGAGGGAGTGAGACCTGGGACTCTGAATGGACAGAAATGGGGAAGATGGCCAGCGGAACACAAGAGGGGACGTGAGTGTGGGACCACTGAGTCCAGAGACAAGGTGGAGAGAAAAATGAGGGGACGGGGTAAGTCTGGGGCTAGTGAAGGGGCTGGTGGGGGTGCTGGGGGCTTGTAAGGTTGAGGGTTGTGAATAGAAGAGGCAGGAGAGAGAGAGGGATGACTGACATGTCAGTGTGAGGGTAGAGTGGGGGACACGTGGCTGAGAGATGACACAGAAGGCTGGACGAGGGACGTAACACTGGGGAGGGTGAGGATACACAGGAGTCATATGGACAGTGGGTGAGGTGAGGAGCTGAAGGTGACATTTCACTCTGCTTTTTCCCCACCGTGCCTGACCCGGGCCTTTTTCCGGGAGCTCAGCTGGAGGGACAGAATCAGGGTGGGTGCTGAGAGGTGGCAGGGAGCTGAGAGGGCTGGCAATCCCCGTCAGATTGGACCTAATGGAACAGAGGAACCTCTCACTGCAAGTGAAAGAGTGGTTCGGGGATACGTGCAGAACCACAGAATCCCCTCGCCCCGCCCGCAGACCAGCCTGGAACGGCCAGCAGAGAAGGGCTCTGGGCTGGGAGTCGAGAACATGTCTCAGGTCAGAAGCCTATGGCAGAAGGGACTGGGGCCTCAGAGGGGGTGGTCCTCACATGCCAGCTGGCCCACCTGTGTGAATGCGCACGTGATTCTTGTAGTTGGTGGCGCTGGTGAAGCCACGGCCACAGTGGGGCTCGGGGCAGGTGTAGGGCCGCTCGCCCGTGTGGGTGCGCACATGTACCTTGCGGATATTAGATGTGGTGAAGGAGCGGCCGCAGCCCTCGAAGGGGCACCGGAATGGGCGTTCACCTGTGGAGATGGGGTGTGTGAGGGCTCCCTCAGGAAGGGGCCTCATGCTGGAGCAAGGAGCAGGGAGAGCACCAGACTCCAGGTCTGAGTCTGAAGGGGGCATGGGAGGGTAGGGCCCAGCCTACCGGTGTGGGTCCGGACGTGCTTCTGCAGGTCTCCCGAGGTCTTGAAGGCCTTGCTGCACAGCTCCTCTGGGCACTTGTATGGCTTCTCACCAGTGTGGGTGCGCACGTGGCTCTTCAGTCCATAACCTGTCCGCACGCGGGAGGGAGGGCTGAGAGGAGCATTCAGTGGGCCTCCTGCTCCTCTGGCTCCTCTTCCTAATTCAGAGGCTCTCCACCTGAAGGCGTGAGACTCCAGACCTCCTTTGCACAAGAAGCCTGTGTCTGCCTCTATCCCACCCCTGCCTGGACAGAGAAGAGCTGGAAAAGCCTACTCTGCTCTCCTTCCCTCTCCACGGGCAGCTGGTGCCATTCAAAACATGAGTGTGAGAGGGAAGCTAGAGAACCTGTGGCTACATGCCCTAGATTCAGAGGGAAAATGAGGCCCAGGGACACGATGGCCTATCACACGCCCCACAGCTGGTCCATGTCAGAGGTCACACAGAGGCCGGGTCTCTCTACCAACCCCCCAGGCTCCTGCTGCTGGCCCAGACCATGCTGCCTCTCACTTCCATAACTGGGTTTCCTCCAGAGACAGCGCCCTGCAAGTCAGCACACTTGGGCAGCAGTTTCTCCGCGAAGGCAGCTTCATGTTGGGTTCCCCTGAGGGAGTTCCCAAAGCTTGTCTAGAATCCTCTGTCCTCAACTGGAAGTAGTCCTCTTTTGGTCTCCATCCAGGTAAGTTACCTGTGGCAAAGGCCTTTCCGCAGCTGGGGAAATCACACCTGTATGGACGGTCACCAGTATGAGCTCTTTCATGTACCTGTGAGGACAAGCACTCATGTAATTCAGAGGGACAAGGGTATAAATGGGCTCTTGGGTTCTCTTTAGGGCCCAGAGTATCAGTACTGGCCACCTCCTTTATTTTGCCTCCTCTTCAGCTGAGAGGCCTACTTCCTCCAGAGAGCCTTCCCTGATTCTTTTCCCTCCCGCACTCTTCATGTGTCCCGGCCTCCTGTGCTGACATTTCTGTACATTCATCCCTTCCTTCTAGTAGGTAATGAGCAACTTGAGGGCAGGGACCAGTTCTAGTCAAAGCGGGAAGGTAGAAGCACAGCGTGGTGGGGAAGATGGCCAGGCTGAGAGCTGTCTGCGGCAACCTTACCTTTAAGTGATGAGCAGTGGTGTAGAGACGCCCGCAGCCCTTGTAGCCACAGCGGAATGCTCTGTCTCCAACTTGCTGCCCTTTGCCATTATGGGGAGCCTGGCTGTCGTGCAGAACCTGAGGAAAAAATCTTGGGGTTCCTATATGTATTCTCCTCAATAAAGGGAGGGAAGAGGTGGGACACAGGGCCCAGCTGGCAGCTTAAGATGCAACGAACAGGGTAAAACCTGCTAGGGCAGAAGGGCAACCTGGGGTAACAGAGCCAGAGAGACAGGGAATAGACACTGGGGCATGCTGCAGAAGAAACGGGGCTGGCATGTGGAGTCACTACCCATCTCTAAGGATAGAATCTTCTTATGATGGCTATGGAAGAAAGGGTTTCTTGTAGGCAGCTAGGTAAGGTGGGGAGGTGGGTGGTCTGAATGGTCACACTTGAGCTCGGCTGAGAGACAGCAACCTCCCTTTTGACCACACACACCAAAGAGGCTGAAACTCTGGACCCCTCTATCCTCTGATGGGAGGAGAACCCGTCCTCCCTGTGGGAAACCTGTGCTCAAAGAGGGCATTAACAAGGGGCTTGCTGTGGGATGAGCTCACTAGGTTCACCAGTGTGAGGTGGCCGCAACCAGCAAACTGCAGAAGCCTGCAGGTCCCCACCAGAAGTCTCAGCTCTAACCACAGCACCAGCTGACAAGTCCTTCCCTTTCATCTCTCCAGTGAACACTGCTAGAGCCACATGTTTCATACCAGCCTTTGGCTTCAGGGAGCCCTTACTGCTCTCTTGCTTTCCTGGGCAGGGTCCTGCTGGGACTGTCCCTTAGTCTTTGTTTCTAGGACACTTTGGCCTTCCCAGGAGCTCCTGAAACAGATGTCTGGAAGTCACGGAAAGTAGGGGACAAAGGGTGAAGCCAAATTCATAGCAAGGTCTGTCTAGTCAGCTCCAGGTTGGGAGGTCAAGCAGCTGACAAAGTTTCCTAAATACTTAAGCAGCTGGTGGATGGCAGGGGGGCGGTCAAAGGTGGCCAGGCCTGCTCCGTGGGCTAACCCACTCAGGCATTCGGATTTCATTCCCATGCCTCACTAGCTCTTGAGGTAATTGAGGGAATCAAGGAACTTCAGGGCTGGAAGTGACCTGTGAAATCACTGTGCTCCATCTCATTGTACTAGAGAGGAACGAGCTGAGGCCTGGGAGGGGCGTGATTTACCCGAGGTCTGACTAGTAGAGGCAGAGCCACCACACATCTCACGGGTCATGATTTAAAGCCCACTTGCCTTTTTTAACAGCAGCAAGTCTCAAATTTGGCTTCTAAAATACACCTCAGGGCACAGAGAGCGGGCATAGGCCCAAGTTGCCCGCTGCCAAGTTTTGTGCTTCACTTTGATGATACAGCCACACTAGTTTTATTATAAAACATCTCCCCCCAATCTTTGGGTAAAACTAGTGCTCCAGGAAGCCCTGCCACATCCACCCTGAGGCTCTGCAGTTCACCCTGGGGACGGAGCACCCTGGACTGGAAAGCTCATAGATCTCTGGCCCCGTTTCCCCTGTGGGCAGGACCATGGCTCCAGCACAGAGAGCTCGGATTGACTGATGTTGGGAGAGTCGAGATCTTCTTCCTTTGCAGCCAAGTTACTGTGCAAGCCTTTTGTTCCAAGAATCCCAGCTGCTCTGTTGCATCTGCCCTAGTCACTGCCTACTGAGGTTATTTTCTCAAATGACTAACGGAGTCTCAGAGAAGAAATAAATACAAGAACATCTGACCTCAGTGGACTGGAAAACTAATAAAAGTCACTGGCAAGGACTTTCTCAGACAGCACATAAGATTACTACTATGGTCAAAGTGAAGCTAGGCCTAAATCCCCACCATGAGGATGTCACTGTTTCATACAGCTGCCTTCCCTCTGCAGAGACAGCATAAATAAGGGTGAGCGTAAACAGCTGTTGGCAGCCCCGGGTCAGGCTGTGATGCACGCCGTGGACAATCATATGTGAGAGACCAGTTGGGGGAGCTTGGGTGGAGGGGCAAAGGCCATGCCCAAGAAAAGGACTGACCTTGTCCTCTAGAGAGGTGGCTGTTTTGGCAGAGTCAAGAGAGTTGATGGGCAGCGTCAGGCTCTGCAAGCTCACCTTGCTGGCATACTGCTCCAGGGCCACCACTGTGTCTGTGCTGAAGCCCTCGTCATCCTCTGCGGCTAGGTCCTCCAAGCCCACCTCTGTCTGCACGGCCAGGATGGTGCTGTCTGACGGCACAGCCACAGGGTGGTGAATGTAGGCAGTGGAGCCGTCTTCCAGCTGGACGGCTTCCAGGGCGTTGGGGTCATAGCCCTCTATAGGGAACATGCGGTTAGCCCAGACGCCGCACAAGGGCAAGAGATATGGCTGGGACTCTAGCTTTAAGGTAACGACAGGGTCATAATCCAAGGCAGGTTTCAGCATTGGGTTTCTCCTGGCCCCCCACCCCAGTGATTCACTCTGTCTAGCTTTCCTTCTGGGGCTGCCTCTCCTAAAGACAAGGTCTCCTATGAAGCAGTGATGGGGAACTTAAAAGCTCCTTGAGGACCTGAGGGGACTGTCATCATCTTGGCCAGGATGACCACAAGAACCTCCTAACTGGTGGCCCCTCACGCCCTCTAGTTCTCTCCAGGCAGCACAGCACCCAGAGGAATCTTTGCAGGACACAATGTGATCGTGTTACCTGATGGCCTAAACAGTTCAACAGCTTCTCATAGGTCTCAGGATAGAGACCAAAATCCTTAGCCTGACACTTGAGTTCTAGCGCGCTGGCCCCTGCCTCTCTCTGGCTTCATCTTCCCCATTCTGCCCTCACCCCAAGAACTCTAGCTCCTGGCAGTTCCTTGAATGTGCCATTCTTCCTCCCTCACCTCTGGGCCCACACATGCTGTTCCTTCTGTCTGGAGTACTGAGCCCTCCCTGCCATCCCTCTTCCCCTAGCTAAGTCCACTTTACTTTTCAACTCTCAGCTCAAGCGTCACTTCCTCAGAGCAGCCCTCCCTGAGCCTGATTTCCATTTGTGAAGATCAGTTCATCAGTGATGGTTCATTTCACTTCTGTTTCTCTCACTAGACTCCAGCAGAGCAGAGACTATGTCTTGTCTCTCTTGTACACTCCACACCTAGCATAATGCCTGGCACATAGTAGTCACTCAAGAAACTACTCATAGAAGGAATGAATTGTTATTCCTCAGTACCTTAGAAGTTTCATTCTTGAATGTTAGTAAGTTTTTACTCCTGGTCTGGGATGATGTCCTCGGGTCCCATTTAAAGCCCTAAGACTTTGTGGCTGTGCTGGAGCTAAAGCTGCCATCAAGGCTCATGCCACTGACCCCCAAGACTCAGCCTCCTGGGGGCAGAAACAGCTGCTCCTGTGGTCTGCACCAGGGAAGGTAGGTGACACTGCTAATCCACGTGAGCCTGGGACCACAGCTCCCATGTCTATGCCCCAACTCCCGGGGTAGGCAACTCCATGCCCCAACCTCTCCCAGTTCTGCCTCCCTTCCTTCTTGCCAGTTGTGATGACTGTGACCCCACCTTTGGGTGTGTGGTGTATGTAGGCCATGCTGCCATCTTCCAGCTGCACAGGCTGTCCATCCTCAAAGGAAAGAGGTTCTGTAATGAGAGCAATGCCTGTCTTTCTCTGGAGCTTGGTGCTGGGGAGGGGTCCCTTGCGGGGGGCTGCCTGGCCTCCCTCCATGAGGCAGGGGTGTCTTGGTGTGCCCTCACCTTTCTGCACCGTCACTTGGTGAATGTATGCCGTAGTCCCATCCTCGAGCTGGATCACCTGCCCTTCAAGCAGCTTCTCCCCTGTAGAGGTAGAAATGGAGAGAAGTGGGCCAGCCTAGAAGAGGGTGGAGGGACACCTGCCTGTTTTTAGCAGAGGCCTGTTTGAGGCACACTCTGCACCTCTAAGCACAGGTGACACTCTCCATGTTACCTTGCTCCTTACATCCCTGGGCCTAGGCCTCAGAATTACTGGGGGTGAAGACATCCTGCCATGAGGAACTGTACAGCTCCCAACAGATTCCCTTCCTGTCACTCATAGGAGGAGCGAGTTCATTTATTAGTCTACCCACGCCCAGCAAAGTGGGGACTTTCAGACTAACAGTAAGTTGCTGAGATGAGCTAAATGGAGAACAAAGAATGCCCTGAAACCTGGAAAAGCCCCAACGGGTCAAAATTCAGATATGACTCAAACTGACTAAATCAAAACACATTCCCTTGTCTCCCACTGTGGCAGTAATGGCAATACCTAGATCCTCTGACAAGGTAGTACAGTTTAGTGGTTGAAAGCAATGGGCTCTGGAACCAGTCCAGGCCTCCTGGGTTTGAATTTCAGCTCTACCTCTTACTAGCTGTGCGATCTTGGACAGCTTATGTACTTCTCTGTGCCTCAGTTTCCTCTTCTTAAAATGAGGATTAAAAATTGTGTCTTCTTCATTGGGTTGCTGTGAGGGTTAAACGAGTTAATGAATACAAAACAGTGCCAGGTACCTGGTCAGCCCTCAATAACATGGTTAGCTTCTATTATAATAAGCCCAATCTGCACTTTAGGAGAAACAGAAAGTAAAGCAATAGGAAGCTAAATGAATGTGACTACTATGCTATTATGTGTCCATCTAAGTCTTGTTCTACTGTCACTGTTGGGAAATGTTTCCTTCTTTGAGCTCTGACATTTCACTCCAATTTTCTAGTAAAAAGATTGATTCACCTAAGGCAACACAATAAGCAGCATAAAAATTAACAAGACTCCAGAGCTCCTAAGATATTACCCTTCCATATTTATCTCAGATCCTTACTGGAAAGCACTTCTAAGAGCAAAAGGCTCTTAACTTTAGAATGAGATCGGCCTCTCCCTGAGTCCAGTGAGTTTGAGAGGGGAAAGGACACGAGAAACGGAAGGAGGAAAGACAGATGGAAGAGCTAATGACGAGGGGTTTGTTCCTTTCTTTACAAGTTTCAGGTTTAGGAATTTGAGCTCTCATGATGTGGGAAAAGGACAAGGCAGCTACTTCTGGCTCACTTCTCTGCTGATGTCTACCCCTCAGAAGACTTCTCAAACTGAGTCCTCTTGGGTCAGTAACAAACAGTTCCACATCCCAGCCGAAGGCAGGTAAGGTAGAGACAAAGGTATGAAGTAGGAGAGAAAGGCAGTTGAGATGAAGAGGGACGCAATCTTCTCCCTCCCACCCAGCAAGCGGCAGACTGCCCTGCATTTTAACACTTTATCTGTTCTGGCAAGGGCATGAGTGCTTGAGGTTCTGAGAGCATCAGCAGACCTTCTGCTCGCAGAGTGTACATTGCTTCAAGGTAGGAAACAAAATGTTGAAAAGAGTTATTTGAGAAAAAATTTCAACCTAGAATTTCCTCTAACAACTTGAGACTACAGTGGGAGAGGCAGGTGGGGAGAAGAGCTGACTGACGTGGCCTCATATCCCATTCTAGAGAGGTGACCATATGTTCCTGTTTGCCTGGAACAGTCCCAGTGCACCCTTCCACTCCAAAAAGTGTCAGGTTTGAAGAACACATTTTATGCTTACCCTAATTATAAGTAAGTCTCATAAAATTTTAGGGCTTCCAGCTGGCTAAGCTGGGCTCAGACAGAGCTGCCTGCTGACAGAGACAAAAATGCCTTATCAAGAGCTTCAGAGGAGCTCACCAGAGTGAGAGATGCCCTTCAGGCCAGTGCAGTTCTGGTTCCCAAAGGCCAGCTCTACCCTCAGCAGTGTGAAGTCTGTTGTGAGTGAGTGTGTGTGCGCAAGCACACACTGCAGCACTGTGGAGGAGGCAGAGAAAAGAGCCAGGAAGAGTGATGAGACAAAGATAAACAGGGAGGTGGGGGGAAGCAAAGAGAACCACACATAAGAAGAAAAGACATAAAAAAAAGAGTGTGGCTTTCTCAGGCCAAGTGTGGCCACTTGCTTTTTACTCATTCATTCAACCATTAATTCACAGCAGAAGACTGAGGCATGGGAAATAACTGGGTCCATGGGGTAAACACAGCTCTATCTACAGTTCCTAAGTCCCTCCATCCTCCTGAGACTGCAGCAGAGGGGCAAGACCTGTGATGGGAGGTCTGCAAACAGAAGGTTTCAGTCTTTAAAAGTATTCTAGGGAAGTTCCACTCTCAAGAAAACGAAGCCAGCCAAACCCACACGTCATAGACGGCTCTTGACAAGAAACCTTTCCAGAAGGCACTCCCCACACGCTGTCATATGGAAAGAACTTACTGATGTGATTAAGGAGCCTCTTTGTCATCATCAGGAAGGTAACAATTTAAGACGAAATCAACAAACAATTTATTGGTAAACTTGAGAACTGAAATACATTTTGATAATGTGTTGAAAGGAGGGCAATGTTGCAATGACAAAGCAGTCATGAGGAAGGTGTCACTCACAGAGCCCAGAAAAGGCAAAATAAAGAGGAGGAATGAGGCAGCGTCGGCCTCGCGCTATCCAAGGAAGACACGCACGCCATCTGGCATGCCTGAGAATGCTGGCAAGAAAAAAGGAGCCTGTCATGATGGTGAATCTCCCTGATCTGAAGGCCCTGTCCTTCAATGACACTGTTCTGACTCCATACCCAACTTAAGGTCCTTGAAAATCCGAATTTCAGGTATATCTAAATTTCAGATAACCAACGAATTTTTTTTTCCTTTTATCTCCCCAAAACACACCCCCCACCGGTACATAGTTGTATATCTTAGTTGTGGGTCCTTCTAGTTGTAAGATTTTATTTTTTTCCTTTTTCTCCCCAAAGCCCCCCAGTACATAGTTGTATATTCTTCGTTGTGGGTCCTTCTAGTTGTGACATGTGGGACGCTGCCTCAGCGTGGTCTGATGAGCAATGCCATGTCTGTGCCCAGGATTCGAACCAATGAAACACTGGGCCGCATGCAGCGGAGCGCAAGAACTTAACCACTTGGCCACGGGCCAGCCCCCAATGAATTTTTTTTCAGTACTGTTATTATTTTACTATTTTTACTATTTTTTTTTAAAAAGATTTTATTTTTCCTTTTTCTCTCCAAAGCCCCCCGGTACAGAGTTGTGTATTTTTAGTCGTGGGTCCCTCTAGTTGTAGTATGTGGGATGCTGCCTCAGCATGGCCTGATGAGCAGTGCCATGTCCGCGCCCAGGATCCAAACCGGCGAAACCCTGGGCCGCCGAAGCAGAGCATGTGAACTTAACCACTCAGCCACGGGGCCGGCACCTATTTTTAGTATTTAATCTCATGTTTATACATGTCTATCCCATGCAGTATTTGGGACATACTTACACTAAAAAATTATTTGTTGTCTGCAACTCAAATTTAACCATGTGCCCTGTATTTTTATTTCTGGCAACCCTAGTGGGGCCTATGGCATGAGATCTATGTTTGCTTCGGTGTCCCCCTCTGAACCTAGAAGAGTATCTTGTACACGGCAGATGCTCAATAGATAGTTTGAGTGCTTAAACTTGCGTGAATTAAAATGAACTGCTTCTAGAAAGCACTGAGAAACTGGAAAGGGACTATCCGAGAAGCAGGAGGCCACAGCCAGTACTGTGTTCACCCATTCCAGAAATATTTATCAACTACTCATCACATGCAAGGAATTCCGCCTTTCAGAGGGCTTGGCTCCTACAGCTGGGCTAGTCTGATTTTCTAGCCTGCTGAGATGGCATTTTATTTTAAAGAGTTCCCTTTTTCATCAGTCATCTCCAGAGATTCTCATGCAAAGCAAGTTGTGGCAAGCAGTGGGGAGAGCAGGGTGGTGGTGAGACTCTTGCAAGGGGACATTCCTCTCCAGAGGCTGGCGGACAGTGTGAGATTCTGAGGTCCCTGGAAATACTCACCTTTGACAGCTTGCTGGACGTAGGCCGTCGTCCCATCACTGAGGGTCACCGTCTGCAGCCCCAAGCTCTCCATGGCAAACTGCTGCTCGTGCGCTCAGACATGAAGTTGGCTTCTGGCCAGCACCGGGAGCCACAGCTGAGGTCGAAGACTTCCTTCTGGGTCACAAATCTGAGAATATGGACAGTGTCACATCATGAATTGCGCAGCTTCCTCCTGCTGCAAGGACACACAGGGAAAGAGTGAATGAGGCCAGCCAAGAAGAAAAAGAGAATTTCTTCAAAGCAGAGAACTATGTTGGTTTTTATGAAGAGAGTTCAAAACATACACATTTAAGAATTCTAAAGTTGGAGCATACAAGAGAAGCAAGCATGCTAGCCAAATTGGTTGTACAGATTTCATCGATCAAAGCCCACTTTTAAACTCACTCTCCTTAGAAGGGAGCCCTGTTGAAGGTAGGCAGCCAACCCCACTGTAATGGTTCTCTGCCCACTGCCAACCCCACTGCAATGGTCCTCTGCCCATTGCTACACCTCTCCTGCATTCAGATCCATCCATCTACTGGCTCTGTTGACCATCCTCAGTGAACTTCCCACAGGCATCACAAATTAAATGAGTCCCCAACTCAACTCACAATGTCCCCACAACAACGGTTTCACTTCCAGTATGACTTGTCCCAGGAATGGCATCTCCAGCCACGCAGAATCAGGGAGGTCATTCTTGATTTCTCCTTTTCCCTCAAAGTCTAGTAAGTAACTATCTTACACCATACACAAAAATTAACTCAAAATGGATTAAAGACTTGAATGTAAGGCCTGAAACCATAAAACTCCTGGAAGGAAACACAGGCAGTAAGCTTCTTCACATTGGTCTTGGCGATGATTTTTAGATTTGACACCAAAAGGAAAATTAACAAATGGGACTACATCAAACTAAAAAGCTTCTGCACAGTAAAGAAAATCATCAACAGAATGAAGGGCAACCTACTAAATGGGAGAAAATATTTGCAAGTCATATATCTAATAAGAGGTAATATCCAAAGAACTCATATAACTCAATACCAAAAAAAAAAAAAAAGCTCAATTAAAAAACTGGCAGAGGATCTGAATAGACATTTTCCCAAAGACATACAGATGGGCAACAGGTACATGGAAAGGTGCTCAACATCCCTAATCATCAGGGAAATGCAAATCAAAACCTCAATGAGATATCGGCTCACCCTGTTAGAATGGTTGTTATCAAAAAGAAACAAGAAGTGTTGGTGAGGATGTGGAGAAAAGGGAACCTTTATATATTGTTGGAAATGTAAACAGTGCAGCTGCTATGGAAAACAATATGAAGGTTCCTAAAAAATTAAAAATAGAACTACCATATGATCCAGCAATTCCACTTCTGAGTATTTATCCAAAGAAAATGAAAACACTAACTCAAAAAGATATACGCACCCCCATGTTCACTACAGCATTATTTACAACAGCTAAGACATGGAAACAATCTAAGTGTCCACCAACGGATGAATGGATAAAGATGTGATATATTAAATATACAATGGAATATTATTCAGCCATAAAAAAGAAGGAAATCCTGTCACTTGTGACAACATGGATGGACCTTGAGGACGTTATGCTAAGCGAAATCAGAGAAAGACAAACACTGTATGATTTCACTGGTATGTGGAATTACAAACAACAATAAAAAAGCTCATAGATACGGAGAACAGATTGGCGGTTGCCAGAGGCGGGGGTAGGGGTGGGCAAAATGGGTAAAGGGAGTCAAAAGGTACAAACTTCCACTTATAAAATAAGTAAGTCCTGGGGCTATAACACACAGCCTGGTGACTACAGTTAATAATACTGCACTGCGTATTTGAAAGCTGCTAAAAGAGTCGATCTTAAAAGTTCTCGTCAGGGGCCGGCCCCGTGGCTACATGATGAAGTTTGCGCGCTCCACTTCGGCAGCACAGGGTTTCGCCGTTTCGAATCCTGGGTGCAGACATGGCACCGCTCATCAGGCCATGCTGAAGCGGCGTCCCACGCGCCACAACCAGAGGCACTCACAATTAGAATACACAACTATGTACTGGAGGGCTTTGGGGAGAAAAAGAAGAAAAAAAAAGTTCTCATCAAAGAAAAAAATTCTGTAACTATGTTTGACAGCGATGTTAACTAGATTTATTCTGGTGATCCTTTCGCAATTTATTCAAATACTGAATCATTATGTTGTGCACCTGAAACTAATTTAATGTTGTATGCCAATTATACCTCAATTAAAAAAATTTAAAAATTAAAGAAGTCAAGGTACCTATTTCAGGTGAGTATCACCTCTCCTGAGCCTCCTAAAGTGTGTCCTCAAACTCTTGCCTGTTTCCTATTCATTTTGTAATATTGAGTCAGGGTGACAAAAAAAATGTACAAACCTAAACCTACCACTTCCTTGATTAAAACTCTTCAATGGCTTCTACTTTTCTTTCTGGTGAGGAAGATTGTTGCTAACATCTGTGCCAATCTTCCTCTGTGTTGTATGTGGGATGCCACCACAGCATGGCTTGATGAGTGGTTTGTGGGTCTGTACCCAGGATCTGAACCTGCACACCCTGGGCCACTGAAGTGAGTGTGTGAACTTCACCACTACGCAACCTGGCCAGCCCTTCAATGGCTTCCTATTGCTCTTAGAATCCACCTTGCAGGCAAGGTGGGGTCCCACCATAAGTCCCAGCAGCCCTGGGCACCACCTCCTTGTAGCACTCACACTCCGGGAATCACCTACTTCAGCACTTATCACCACTTCTTTAACATCGTTGCCTACACACACTTTGGGCTCCAGTCTGGTTTCTGGGTCACTGTAGGCTCTCCACAAATCCTTGTGGAGTGACTCACTGGGTCCTCGAGTGTGAGGAGGAAAGCGCTGGAGTGTCCTGCTGGTAGATGTCCTCTGCATCTGCCAGGGCATGGAGCCTGTTAGAGCCAGGGAGCCCACAGTAGAGAAGTCTCTGTTCTGCTTGGTGGTTAGGATTCTCTGGACTCTCTTTGTCACCCATCCACAGAATTCCCCTGGACTTGGAATCTATACTACCTACCTGATTCTCACTACCTGCCAGATGAGCCTTTCCATAAGTGTTACCCAAACTGTTTTCTTGTCAGGGCACCTAGAGAGAAGGATATTTATATGTCACACTGGGGGTGCTGTTGCTTGAAGCCAGGAGCAACCAGCTGGGGCTCTGGCAGTTCCAAGGACTGAGTGGAACTATACCCCATTTGTGACACAGTGATTGGGATGTTCTACCCAAGACTTGGCATCTCTACTAGAATTATTCACTCATCTGTCCATAAACATTTACTGAATGGGCTAAGCTCTGGGGACAGCAACACCACTAACACTAACAGTGAACACTACTGTAGAGCTAACCATGTAGGAGGCATTTTACACATAGGAACTCATTTAATCCTCACAGCGATCCTGTAATTAAACACTATTATTATCCTCATTTTACTGTTGAGAGAATTGAAGCCCAAGACATTAAGTAACTCACTCAAGGTTGCACAGTTACTAAAAGGGAGAGGAGGATTTGAACCCAGACATCTGACTCCAGAGTGTGCTCTGAAGGACTCTACTATGCTGCCTAGTACAGAGGTTTTTACCTGGGGTTATGAACCCTGAAGCCACCTGAAAGTATTTTTGGTGTGTGAGCTTGTGCATTTTTCTGAAGAGGGGGAGTCCTAGACTGCCATCAGTGTCTTACAGGGACTAAAGGTAAAGAACCACTGGTCTGGGTGGGAATTCTGACATCTGACCCCTCTTCTCCGGTCTTATAGGATCCCGGCAGTGACCCCAACCTTGCCCAGGGCCCTGATAACCCTGCATTATCCCTATTGCACAAAAGCTCTGGTCCTGGCCTCTCTTGGTCTGCTCCATGAGCAACAACTTTCATTCTCTCAATCAGGAAGTGAAATTCTTTTGGTAACCTGTTTTTGTGTAACAGCACTGAGTCAGAAATAAGGACACACATGAGACACCCAGGTCTGAAAACAAAGCCAACTGTAGGTTGAAAAGGGAGTACAAAATGGCCTCAAATCTTTATGCCTGGGCCCCGTGGCTGCTGCAGCAATGGCTGGTTTAATTTAGCTCGTATGTACTCTATCAGGACTTAGTGAGGAAAATCCGTAGCACAGTTAAGAACACAGGCTCTGGAGTCAGACAGCCTAGGTTCTAATCTAGGCTCTACCTCTTTGAAGCTGTGTATCCTTGGGCAAGTAACTGAACCTCTCTGAGCCTCAGATGCCACTTCCAAAAAATGGGGATAATAGTGGCACCTTCCTCACAGGATGCTGTAAGGATTACTTGAGGTCACATACTTCAGAATTTATCAAAGTGCTGGCAGAAGCACTCTAGAAATACTGGCTCTGAGGAGGAGGGGATAAAAGAGGAACTTAAAGGGAAATGCTTTTGAAGCAATGGGTATTTCTAAAACAGCCAAGAGTAATGGCAACAGTCCTGGACTAGAAGTGCAGAAATGCCTTCTAGTCTTGGTTCTACCTCCTGTAACTGCCGCCTAATCTGTAAAATGAAGTCGTGCCCCAGAGATGACTCTCAAATCCTTTCCACTGCTCATGGTAATTATCACATATATAGCCATTAATACATGCCAGCCACTGTTCAAAGCACTTTACCTATATTAACTCTTTTACTTTTGCTGAGGAAGATTTGCCCTGAGCTAACATCTGTCACCAATCTTCCTCTTTTTGCTTGAGGAAGATTTGCCCTGAGCTAAGATCTGTGCCAATCTTCCTCTATTTTGTATGTGGGTCACTGCCACAGCTTTCCCCTGATGAATGGTGTAGGTCTGCGCCTGGGAACCAAACCTGGGCCACTGAAGCGGACTGCACCAAACTTAACGACTGGGCCACTAGGCTGGCCTAAATATTAAGTCTTTTAATACTAAAAATAACCCTGTGAGGAAGTAGGTACATTAACCCCATTTTACACATGAGGCGACTGAGGCTTAGAGGTGGAGTAATTTGTCCAAGGTCCCACAGCTGGTAAGTGCTGATGCCAGGATTCAAAGCCAGGCTGGCCAGCCCAAGAGTCCATACCTCTCAATATCTGGGGCATTTCCTCCTTCTGCTAATCCACTGTGACACAATGCTAACACTCAAAACACTTGAATATTGGTTGTTTAACTTCATGTCACCCACTGCAACTTAAACCCAGTCCTTCCTGACCTGATGACAATGGAAAGAGGGAATAGGTGGTAGCTGCATTTCCTAAAATAATGCTTCTTAGACTCAAAGAAAACAAATCTCCACTCCTTTATGTGTTCTCACATCCAGGCTAAATATTCAATTTTCCTCCTTAAGCCTCATAATATAAACCTTTAAAACAGTCCACTCTTGCTCTCTAACTTCTCCCTATCTCTGACACTGCCTTCCAACAGAACCTGACTGTGGCTGGTGAGAAGGTGCCTCATGGCTGCCAGACATGTACATGTGCCTGATTGCCTCTTCCCCCTTCCTTTTGTTAAATTTCTGAATCCTCCCGTGCTGGTACTAAACTAACAACAGTGACACTGGCAGAGCCAAAAAGAGGCTTGTCACTGCCTCAGGATGGCTGTCTGAGCAGTGCCTGCCTGCACTTGACATTTCAGATTCATAACCCCTGTGACCCTCTGAGAAAGAGCAGAGGGGGAGCAGAGGCAGCTGCTGTTTTCTCCTTGGAGGGTCTAAGCTTTCCCAGCTCCCCAGTGACCTGAGTCGGGTATGGGGCACAGACACACTAGGAGGGATATGAGATATGAGCCATAACAAAAGGCAGGGAAGAAAAGGGAGCACTCCTGACTCTCCCAGAACTAGCAGCAGGTGCAGCTTGTTGGTTGCATTTTTAAATGAATTTAACCTGCTGTTGGTTCTGATGCAGGAAATAGCCCTATGGCTTCATAATATATAAATGTGTTTCCTAATGTAAAAACATAAATTATAATTATTGGGTAGAGAGAACATTTCGAAAAACTTTCCAGATACTTTGGATCTTTAGGTCTCTCTGTGAAACAAGATGTACTTAAATTGCCTCCTCAAAGCAGAAAAATAAGGGATATGAAAGATGGGAAACTAAAGAGTAGCCATGTATTTGTGCTTCTCCACTTTGCCACGGTTCGGAACTAATCTGATCCACACGGAAGCTGGCCCTTGCCTTAACTGCGGGCACCTGTTCGCTATTCCATCACTTTTCTGCCAACCAGAACTCCCTGGATGTTTGAACAAGGCTTTCTGTACTCTGCCTCAGCCAGCCGAGAGGGCAACTGCATTTAGAAACCAAAAAAAAAAAAACCACTCACAAAAACCAAAAAATTTGCCTGGAAAGAGAAGAACGTCCAACTTTGACTGGAAAAAAAAAAAGACACTTTTCTCTCAGAAAATCCCTCATTTGGAAATACAGAAAACTTCTCAGAGAGGACAAAGTCACATTAGGCTGGGAGGGACAAAGGCTGAGGGAGTCAAGTGGCAAAAAAATTAGAACCAGACTCGGGAGAGCTGTAGTAAAATGATGCAGTATTTGTTATTACAGAAAAAGACTTCAATGCAAAAACAAAAACCCTAGCGAAACAGGCTTAGTTCTGTGGGTTTTCAAACACTGAAGAGAAAACAGGAAATTAACAACAGAAACTTACATTAACATAACACACATTTAAAACATCAGCTAAACATCTCCTTGCAAAAGGCACACTGATGTTAAAAGCCCAAATCAGTTTTTCAGTATGGTTCCTATTTGGCTACTACAATTTTATAGATTTGAATTAGTCACAGGAAAGTGAGTAATTAGGAAAAGTGGATTATTTTCAATGCCAAAAAGGCAATGAAAATGCAAACTGCTTTAACTGAAGAACAGAATTCATTTAAACTAAAACAGATAACTTAAAAATCTAATTTTCAGCCATACATTTTAGTGAATTCTAACAACTTAGTTTGTAAACACCCAGCATAGCAATCATGGCTGAGTTTCAAACCCACCTTTAGTCTGTGAAAAGTCCAGAAAAAAGGCTTTTTGAAAGGTTTATCCTAAGGATATGCTTTACACCGACAAGCAAATCAGTACAGATATGACGAAGTCACATCTGAATTGTTTCTGGAATTCAGCTTGGGGTCACTGCTGGCTTGAGAAGGGCTATTTGAAAACGAAACATTCCATCAGCATCAGGAGGGACTAGATCTTCACAGTTATTCAGAAACATTATGTTATTTAAAACATCACCCTGGGAGAAAAAGGTATAATTTATTTCATCAGCTGATACAAACTGGAACAATATCCAGATCTCAACTAGGAAGAGAAGGTAGTTTGGACTTTGGAAGCAAAAGAAAATCAAATCAAAAGAAGAATTGGTTTTAAAAAAATCAACATTAGAGGAAAATATCAAAGAAATAAAACATAAGACATGATATTAAAAACACATGAAACTGAACTGTACACTTAAAAATGGTTATAATGGTAAATTTTGTCACGTGAATTTACAACAATAAAAAAAGTGGTTGGAAAAAAACCACATGCAGACGCATAAAATCTCCAAGAACAATACCAAATTCCCACTGGACAAATAAGGTTACAATATGAATTCACACAAGCAAAAAACAGTAAAAAACAACACAAAAAAAGGTTCACTCTCATTAGTAGCAAAAGAACAAGAAAGAATAATGATGATATTATGCTTATTGAATTACCAAAAATCAAAGTAAAATTATTAACATCCAACGGACAATGAGATACCACCATACACCTATTAGAATAGCCAAAATCCAAAACGCTGACACCACCAAATGCTGGCAAGGATGTGGAGGAACATTCATTGCTGGTGGGAATGCAACATGGTACAGCAAAATGGTACTTTGGAAGGCAGTTTGGCAGTTTCTTACAAAGCTAAACATATTCTTACCATATGATCCAGAAACCCTACTCATAGGTCTTTATCCAAATGCGTTGAAAACTTAAGTCCACAGAAAAACCTGCACAGGGGATGTTTATAGCAGCTTTATTCATAATTGCCAAAAACTGGAAGCAACCAAGACGTCCTTCAATAAACAAACTGTGGCACATCCATACAATGGAATATTATTCAGCGATAAGAAGAAACCAGCTACTAAGTTATGAAAAGACACAGAGGAACCTTAAATGCATTTTGCCAAGTGAAAGAAGCTAATCTGAAGAGGGTACATACAATATAATTCCAACTATATAACATTCTGGAAAAGGCAAAACTATAGAGACAGTAAAAATATCAGTGGTTGCTAAGGGTGAAAGGTGAGGGGAAGAAGAACGAACAGGTGGAGCACAGGGCATTTTTAGGGCAGTGAAAGAGGCTATTCTGTATGATACTGTAATGGTGGATACCTGACATTTTGCATTTGTCAAAACTCACAGAATGTACAACACCAAGAGTCAACCCTAATGTAAACTATGGACTTTAGTTACTAATAATACATCAATATTGATTTGTCAATTGTAGCAAATATACCACACCAATGCAAGATGTTAATAACAGGAGAAACTGGGAACTGAGTTGAGGGGGAGAATATACGGGAATTCTCTGTATTGTACTGTCCAATTTTTTTCTGTAAACCTACAACTTCTCTAACAAATAAAGTCTGTCAATAAAAAAAAATAAAAAATGCAACTACCGACGTTGGCAAGACCATGGGGGAGGCACATCATGCACTGCTGACCAGTACTGGAGGTTGCTCCAAGCTCTCCGGAGAACAATCCATCAACGCCTAACACCACAGGGAAAGGTTCAGGATCTGAGATCTAATAACCTCATCTTCATAACTCATCCCACAAAGAGAACGTACAGAATACAAGAGCTATAGCACAGGATGCTTGTTTAAACGTCTTAAGACAAGAACATTTGGATTAACGGAGGAGGGTTAACAAATTAACACTAAATGAAAAAAGACATAAGGCTGAACACCCATCTAGTTCCAACTCGCAGAAATCTAAACTCCAAGTGAGATGCGGGCAGAAGAAGCCAAAAAGAACTGAACATGAACAGTTGTGCTAAAAGGAAGGGGTACAACGTTTAAAAAAATAAAGTTGCCAAAATGAAAAGACACCAGCATGGAGCTGAGAGGTAGCTCTCCAGTGGACACCAAACCTGTTTGCCTGGTTGCTGGCTCCTCCCGCTCACGGTGTTCCTTTATCCTCCTGCGGCCTTCCTACTACTACCTGCACCTCATCCCTCCTGGGTCCCACGAAGAAAGACATCTATCCCTCCTCTCATTCACGCCAGTCTAAGTGCTGAGGCAGGGAACTTCTTCCCCCAGGATTTTCCTTCCTGTCTTCTAACCACCAGAGGTCCAGTTATGTCTTTTGGATATATTGTTAAATGCGATATTCTTTAAACTGGGCTGTATTGTGCTTTGTGTGTCTTGTGGAATACAGTGTCATGGTGGGGCCCCATGATTCAGTATCCTACATTGATCTTTAAATAATCCATATATTCTTAACTCAAAGCAGTGTGCGTGAGGTTGTGGGGAAAGAGGCACAGTCTTACGTTGTTGGTGGGAATAAACATTGGTGCAAGCTCTATGTAAGGCAATTTGGCAGCATCAATCAAAATTACAAATGTACATACCAGCCAACCCAGCAATTTCATGTCTAGTCTACAGGCAGATGTACATGTGTAAAAACGGCACAGTCCAAGGTTATTCATGGCATCCCTGTATGTAATAATAGCAAAAAATTAGAAATAGCATAAATATCTACCAATACAGAACTTCCATACTATGTAGACATAAATAAATGATGAAAATCCTTACATACTGAGATGGGAAGATCTCCAAACTATATTAAACAAAAATGGCAAGGTATAAAACAGTGCCTTTTGTATGCTGCCATTGGCATAAAAAAATCTGTGGAAAGACAGTCAAGAAATTACTAACCAGGGTGGAAGCCTGTGGAAGGATAACTGAGTGACCAAGGCACTGCAATGGAAGGGTTGACTTTTGTGCATCTTTTATACTTAAAAAAAAAAATTAAGCCTTTTGAATTTATTACCTATATAAAAATAAATGAATAAAAAAAAATAAAGTCTAAAAGCATGCTGTGCACTCCTTTTGTTGGCTACCGGAATACCTTTCTCTATTCACAAGACATGGCAAGTCTAGTGCTGATAGGATAGATTCCATGATGCTACAAGGTTGCAGAAAAACCACATTTGAAAACTTAGCTTCACAAATCACAGATGCCATTCTGGAGTATATCATCTGGAAAGCTGATCAAGCTGAGCACGAGGCAACAGCAAATCTATCATGACCTGAAGACATGCTGGCTCCAACATGTGTCCCCAGCCTGGTCACCAGGGTGGGTTAGCTGAAGTGATGGCTGAGCCGGGGCTGCCTTTCTCCCTCACTCTTTCTGTGGCCTTAGGACAGTACTTCCTAGGTTGAGAGGATGATCTTCTCAGAGAGACGAACCCTGGTCTTGGGTACCCCTGCCACACTCTCCACATCTAAGCCTCAGGTCAGTTTACAATCTCAAGGAGCACCCAGTTCCTTGGGTCTTACCTTAATTGCCTGGGTCTTATGCTTTATCAACTAATATCAAAGCAGAAGGGAATTCCAACAAATGAAGAGTTATGCAGTGAGAAACAGTACCAAGCTAACAGTTATAGCTCAGCTTCCCAGAGATGAACCACTTTCTGAGGGCAGACTCGGAGCAAGTGTTTACCCGGAAGCACTAGAAGCGTTCTGACTTCCAGCTGGTGAGTCCAACGTGCCGTGAGGCTTTGAACGTCGCACCCAACACCACAGACCTTTCCAATTCTGAATGATAAGTGAGGAGCTTGAGTAGGCCCTGCACATCTACCAGCAAAACAAAGACGACTGCATAGGATTTGTGGGCCTTCACATGGATGCTCACATTTCTACACCTTGACTGACAGCCCCCAGGGCAAGAGGCATCTGAGGTTTTGCCACCAGTTAAAGACAACGGCTTCAGCTGCACTTCGATTTGTATCTGTTTTTTTCCCTCACCAGGACAAAATTCCCCATCCTGTTAAGTGAAAGATGCTAATGACACATCCACTCTAAACTAATTTTGTGAGTGACCTATCAGTTAAGAGGGGCTATACCTTGTATTCCTGTTTAGCTGGTCAGACACAGTCCTTACAATATATATAAACACAGAAATCTAAATGACACAAGGATAAACACAACAGAGTGACTGTGCTTCCAGATGCAGTGAAGGGATTACTCTGCCACGGCATGTTTTCCTTGAACTTGACTCTTCTGGGGGAAACTAACACACTCCTACTTTCTGTTATACTGCTTATAATTTAAGTTCCTGGAAAGCATGCATTTTAGCTTAGTCAGCACCTGACAAAGACTGTGCCCACAGATACTAAATAAATAATACCATTATGTCACATAGCTAACTGAGCTCTTTAGCTCAAATTTGAATGCTAAATCAGCTCCATTTATTGTGAATTAAATCTAACTGAAACTCCAAAGACCAGATTTGAAACCCTTCATCTACTACAGAACTATGAGCTCCTTCAGAGAAGTTCCTAGCAGAGTATTAAATCTTGAGTGAAAGCATGAAGGAGGGAAGGAACTGAGTCTCATCACCCCAACTCTTCCCCCAGCCCCAGCTAGGATGACATTTTTTCCTCACTTGGAATTCCATCCTGCCTCATCTCTGACATCCATATTCACTGTTTTTTCCCAGACTCAGGTCAAGAAAAAGCTCTCCCTGGCTACCGTCACACCAGACCACCAGAATCCAGGCTGTTCCTGTTGAACCTAGCAGTGAAGCTATGCCAGGTGGCTCACCTGTAGTGTCTGGGCACAGAGGCATCTTCTCCATCATTGTATCCTCTGTGTCCAGCACAGCACCCCACCCATGGCAGGCACTCACTGGGTATTACTTTAACAAAGGAAGGAAGAAAAGAATCTTACCACCAACACCGCTACCCCATATAGAGCTGAGCAGTTTCCAAAATGCTCTCAGACATAAAGATATATTATCTTGTAAACTCTAAGCACTAATTCATCCACTCTCACAATGGGAGGGGCTGAGAAGACAGCTAGTTTCTAGTCTAAAGCAGTCATTTTGCAGATGAAGATACAGAGGCCAGAGCTGCCCGAGGAGTCCCAAAGGATCACACAGCTACCTGGTGGCAGAGTCAGGCCACACTCCTGAACCGCTAGTGTTCTTCCTACCATACTCCTTTGTCTCTTACCCAGTAATAGCGTTCTTTCAGTTCCCAGGAGAGCAGAAATTTACTCATGTCTAACAGACTTGTATCTCCAGCTGCTTACTCAACATCTCCATGTCCAAAAAACAACTCAAACTCAACATATTCAAAAGTGAACTCCTTATCTTCCCCTTCTCACAACCTGCCCCTCCTCCAGGCTCCCTCATTTGAGGAAATGGGAACGCCATCCTTCGGTTGCTCAGGCCAAAAATGCGGGAGCCATCCTCAACTTCTCTGTTTCTTTCACATGCCACATCCAATCCAGCAGCAAGTCCTATTGGCTCCTCTTTCAAAATACATCCAGAATCCAACCACTTCTCACGCTTCCACTGCTTTACTTTGGGGCCAAGCCACCAAGTTCTCTTGCCTGGACTACTGTAGTAGCCTACTAGCCAGTTTCCCTTCTTCCACTCTTGCGCCCTATGGTTTATTCTCAACACAGCAGCCAGAATGATCCTTTATGTCAGATCATGTCACTTACCTGCCTACAACCCTCCCATGGCTCCCATCTTCATAATTCAAAATAAAATCCAGTGGCCTATAAGGCCCAACACGATCTGCCACCAACCCACTCCCACCCCACATCTGCTGTTTCCCCTCCCTCACCCTACTGTGCACTGGTGTTTCTCAAATATACGAGGCATACTCCTGCCTTAGGGCCTTTGTACCTGCTGTTCCCTTTGACCGGAATACACTTCCCTCAGATATACACTCGGCTCACCCTTAACTTCTTTCAGGTCTTTGCTCAAATGTCACCTTTTCAGTGAGAATTTCCTTGGCTATCCTATTTAAAATCTAACCCTGACTGATGGTACTCTCTATCTCCCTTCTCTGCTTAATTTTCTCAATACATATTTTACTTGTTTATGTGTTTATTGTATGTCTCTCCCTCATCCACTCCCCCAACAGGTGTGCTCCTTAAGTCCTAGAACTTTGTTTTAGTCACAGTTCTATCCCCAGGTACTACAGAAGTACCTGGCCTCTAGCAAAGGGTCATCGAACATTTGTGGAATGAATGAATGAGTGTATGAATGAACATCCATCCCTTTAGGATCTCCCAGTAATCTGAAGGCTTTAGACCAGAAGGGGAAGACTCTACTTGAGCTCTGGTCTCTCCTTCACCTCCCCTACTACGTTACATTCTCAGGTCCAGTCCAGCCCTTTACCACCAGAAACCACCCCTGGGCTGGGAAGCAGGGAAGGACCAGGGCAATAGGTGCTTGTTGCCAGGACATTACTATTCCCAGGCCACCAGGTACAGAATTCTGCAGGGTGCTGATTTTCTTATTTAGCATCCTGTTATCTCACAAACAGAAGAGGTCAGAGATAGGTTAGGACTAAATATACTACTTAACCTAGATAATAGTACTGACTCGGTAACGGCAGCTCATTTGCTTTGAGGTGTTTTCCAAGGAAGCGTGCCAAATTTGTACTTGTTCATCTAGTTGTCCTTTTTTTTTTTTTTTAAAAAAAAACACTTTCTATTATGGATTTCAAACATACAGAAAAGTAGAAAGAATAGTATAATGAACCCCATGAACACATTACCCAACTTCAACAACCACCAACATTTTGCCAGTTTGGTTTCCTCTATTCTCTGACTGTCTCTGCAACCCCCCCTAAACATTTCACCTACCTGTTTTCTTGAGAACTGGTCTATGTGTGACAGACCCTGGGCTTGTTACCACCGTATTCTAGCAACTATGTAAACCAATCTCTCTCATCTTACAGCAATACAGTAAAAACAAGCATTTACGCCCATTCCCCGGCTTGAGCAATGACTGAAAAAGGAAGTGGCTAAACTCCAGACTGTTTAAATCAAAGGACTTGCCCATTATCACGTTTGGAGGGATTTGGGGAGAGGGTTGTTGTGGCTACAAAATTAATGTAGACGTGAGATGTTTTCACTTGTTTGTATCTGATGCAGAATTTCTAAATGAGTTCATTCAATCCCATAAGTACTGACGACCTGCTAAATATGAGGGACAGGATTAAGATGACAGAAGATAAAGAAAACCCAGCCTCTGTTCTCAAGGAAATCATAGTGAGGATGGGTGTTGGGTGAGAAAAGTACACACATAACTAAGATACAAGGCAGAATATGTTCTGTGCCCTAAGAAAGATTAAACAAGCCTAAGGCAAAAGCTCCTTTTCAAAAACCAACCCATGGAATTTGTAGACCCCAGGATTTACCTCTTTCTTAACTCTAGTTTTTATTCTGTTGTATTGATTGCTGCATAGCCAATAAGTACACTATAGGAGACCTGGGAATTTGGTGACCTACAGAATAGACTTTTGGATGTGGATCTTTAACGTCACATTTTGCTACTCACCATCCAGTCTTCCGGTGGGAGGGGACTGGAAAAGTTCTCCCAAAGCTTGGAAAACAATGAGGCTAATTCAATGCCAGCAGAAGCTGACACTCAAAGCATGCTACCCTGAGGACATATACAGCAAGCAGCCTCATAAACAGGATAGGATCGTGGGAGTGTGTCAAGGAGACATGGCTAAACTGATTCAGAAGGATTTCCAAGGTCTCTTTCCTTGCTACCTAAAGGACTGTGATCTATTATCAGAACTTCCCAGAGAAGAGCACAGCTCTTTGGACAAACCAATGGGGCCAATGAGGTTTGGTTGGACACTGCTGTGTGTGAAGGAAGGAGTGCTAGGAGTGGCAGGGTCATTCATGTGGCCCTGGAGTTGGATGCACAGGAAAATGGAAGGGGCAGATGTGGGATGGAAGGGAGGCTTACATCATAATCAATGTTATCAAGATTGATGAGGTGAGGATGGCTGGGAGAAAAACAAGAGGAAGGCAAGAAAAACCCACTGTGAGAACGGACGGGGATACAGGAAGAGGGAAAAGGTGAGAGATGATTCCAGTTTGAAAAGGAGATCACTGATGAAAATGAGAAAGATACCATGAGATCCGGGAATCTGAAAGGCAGGATCTCACAGGATATTTGACAGGGTGTGAAGACGAGGGATCCTAGAATGAGAGGGTGTATAGGTTATGAAGGATGGGTTCACACTGGGATGGAAGGGGCTCATTTCACTGAAGCTGGGTGAAGGAGGTCACCAGATGAAGGGCTAATTAGATGAAGGTTTTAGGTAACAGGATATTACTACCTGAAGAGGGTAGACGGGAGGCAGCTAGAATACTGAAAAAAGACTGAACATAGAAACAAATCATAGGAGGAAAGACTACTGGGCTGGAGGGTTTTAGTATTTGAATTCCTGGTGGTAAGGGAATTAACAGTATCAGAGAATTTGGGATAAAGTGCCAGTGATGGGGGAGACAACTTAGGGTGAGTGAGGGCTTGGAGCTCCAAGGACTCATAGGGTGAGAGGATGTCTGGACAAAGGACAAAGAGAGGTATTAATGTGCAGAGGTGTCAGGGAACGTGGAGTGAAAAGCCATGAACAATGGGTTGAGGAAGACACCAAGCCATGGGACAGGGGGTAACAGAAACCTTGGGAGTCATGGCATGAGTTGATGTTGAGCTTAGGAATTATTAGAAAATAAGGAACAAGGGGCTGAGGGTGACCTGGAAAAGTAGGTAGGTTTGGGGGAAAGAGAGGTAATGGAACAAGTGGGTTTTAAAGACTGTAGGTTCAAATCCCAGCTGTGCCACTTATCTGTGTGAGTTTCCGGTTCTTCATTTACTAAAAACCAAACCAAAACCAAACAAAAATGGGAAAGGTGATAATAATCACCTCTTGGGGTTGTTAAGTAAATTTAATTTATACACATAAAGCTTGGCATACAGTAGGTGCTTGGCAGCAAGTAACTAAAGAAATATCAGGGTCAAGAATCAGAGAAGTGAGGAGGCCACAGCAGAGATAAGAAGATGGGGATCCCAAGAGCTCAGTGGTAGAAAGGTAACGCGAAGTATAGGCCTTGTGTTTATTGTCTGTTGAATCCCTAGCACCCAGGACAGAGCAAGAGCTCTGGGAGCTTCTTAGCTTACACGTAAAGGCTCCCGGGGGCCATGCATGGTGCCAAGTGCTTTGCAGGCATTATCTCAGGCACTACTATTATCCTTGCTTAGCAGAGATGGAGACTGAGGATTCAGATAGGCTAAATGGTATACCTAAGGTGCCACAGCTGACGGGCCAGAATCATTCTAGAACTCAGGTCTCTTATCACATCAACGCCTTGAGCTGAAGTGCTCTACTACACTGTTTTGCAAACATGTTAACTGATGAGGAGTGATCAAGGGAAATAGGTATAGACTATTAACAGTGTAGGGCGTCATGGGAGTGAGGGAATAAGGTTCACGAAGCAAGTGGACGCTTGGGTGAGGTTATGAAAGTAAACCTCCAGGGCGGGGTACATAAATGATTGCAAACAAGCATTTTCTTGACTGAGAATTGCAGAACTTCACAGCTGGAAGGAAACTCTAAGATCATTTAACCCAATCTATCATAATACAGATGAGAAATTGAGGTCCAGAGTGAGGAAGGGACTTCTCCCAGGTTCCCAAAGCACAACGGTGGCAGAGCTGGGACTTGAATTTGGGACCACAGGCTCAATCCAGAATTCTTTGATGCCTCCAACTATTACTACTTCATATTCACCTTTTTATCTTTCTGGGCATGGTGCTAGGGCACTTTTAAGTCAGGTGTTGATTCACACTGGGGTGTAGAGAGGAATGTCAGAGGGGGTGATTTTAGGATGAAGGGGCTGCATGGAATGAAGATCATGAAGTTACAAGGGCAAAGAAGGGATTATCAGATATTGAAGGTTATGTAGAAGATGACTGGGTGGGAAACTACTGGAGTAGGGCTTAGGAGTTACCAGGAAAGGTTTGAGGGGAGTCACCAAGTTTCTGGAGGTACACAGGGTAGAAGTGGAGGAGTTACCAGACCGGTGGGATCACTGAGAAGGTTTGGGGGTCACCAAGGAGGGGTGTTGGGATCCGGAGTCCGTGAGTCACTGGATTAGAACTGAGGGAGTCACTAGGTTGGTGGGTCCCTGGGCAGCGCTTGGGAAACTCCTGGGTTGGTAGAACCAATGAATAAGAATTGAGGGTTACCTGTGAGGTCTTAGGGTCAGGGGGCGGGGTGGGGAGGGGGTCACAGAGGTGGAGGCGGGCGCAGTCAAGGGGTGGGATTTGGGGGTTATGGGGGAGGAGTCGCAGGGCGGAACGGAGGGGCAGGGATGGGGGCTGGGACCCGGGGTGGGGGAGGGGTCAGGCCGCCGTCCAGCCGTCCGGCCGCCGGGCTAGGGCCGGAGGAGGGTGGGCACGCCGGGCTCGGGACCTTCCCGGGGCCCTGCGCCCGCCCGGCCTCCCACCTGGGCACGGTGGACCCGCTTTTCCCGCAGCCACCAACCTGACAGCCCCCGAGGGCGACTCCGCCGACAGACCGCCATGCACCGGGCCCCGCCACCAGCGCCGGCCCCGCAACCCGCCTGCGCCATAGCCCGCCCGCCCGCGCGCAGCTTGCCTCGCGCGATATCCAGGTTCCAGGGCCGCCGCACTTTCCTCTCCTCTCGGCGCGCCTCTCCCGGGCCCCGGAACCCGTATACAAAATACAGGGCACGCTCCACCCCGCACCCCGAGTCGCAGCGGCCGCCGTCCTACTTATCCTGGTTCCCGGGCCCCGGGAGCCCGGGCGGCCGGGCTCTGAACGGCGCCCCTCAGCTCCCGGCCCGGGTGACGCAGGGCCCGCGAGGCCGAGCGCCCGGGGAGGGCGTGATGACGTCACGACGCCCCGGTCAGGGCCTGGGCGCGGCTCGCGGGCCGGGTCGTCGCTATAGCAATGAGAAGCCGCCACCTGTGCCACCCAGGGACTCCGTCCACCTGAGGCCTGAGGCAGGAGCGAGGAGGAGCCCGAGGCCCCGAGGGCTCCACGCCGTGTCGTCGGCGGCCTGCGGGCCAGAAGGTGCGCTTCAGGAGCCGGGGAGGACAGGAGGAGCGCCCGCCCTGGGCCTGCGGAGCCTCTCCTCGGGGCTCAGCCCGCGGGCGGCCGCCTGCGCCCTACGCGCCCCAAGCGCTTCACTGTGCGCGGTCCGCAGACGCTGCCTGCGATCTTCGAGCCAACTCCCTGAAGGCAGCACTGGCAGGTATTAATAGCTCCTTATTGGCAAGGACGACCTCGAGACGCCGTGAGGGACTTGCCTCTTGAGGGAGGGCGCCCTGACGGTCCTCTGGGGTTCTCTCCCTCGCATCCCCTCGTCAGCCCCACCCCCAGCCTCAAAACCAGCGACTCCCCCGTGGTAGGCTGGCTTCGGGGTGGACAAACCAAGCCCTTTCTTTCACTAGTTCTCCCTTCCCGCCGGGGAGGCGCTACGAATGGGGCTTTTCAGAAACCTAAGGGAAAATTGAAAGAGAGTGAGCTTTTTGGTAAAAAGTTAAAAATAAGTAAGGAGAGGCGTTAGACAGAGAACTGATATAGATTGCCTCTTATGAGAGGAATTAGGTGAGAAACTTTCCCCTCTATCCTTTCAGACTTTCACTAGTTTCTTTTGTATCCTTCCCCTCAAAAAACAATTTAACCGGAAAAAAAAATTTAAAAAGGAAGTGTCCTGATAAACTAGAAACATCTACAAAGTACTGGGTTTGGGGGCCTGTGGTTGCTAAAGGTGCTTAACCGGGAGCACTGTTCCTCTTCTTGCATGCCTGAAGAGCTCAACCAGAAAGCCCCCTTTCAATTTTAGATATCCTCTCTTCCCCATCTTTTTGTTTTGGCACGACATTTCCACAGGCGGGACTGGGGCCAGAGATCTCATCAGGTTCTCAGTGTAGGTGGGCACTGACTATTGATGGCCCATTCTTATCGTTAATCATTAATCCTTTGTATACCTCCTGGTATAGAAATAGTGGCCTGGCCACTATGGTGCCCTCTTTCTGTTCCTTTTCGGTGGAAGTTTGAACAGTTATTTTATATAGATACAGAGAGAGGATAAGTAGCTGGTTCTGTAGCATAAATTGGTTAGAGACAGAGCAGGGAATAGAACTCAGGTTGTCCTAGTTTGTCCCCCCACCATCTTGTTCTGTAATACAAAATACATCTGTCCTTTCTCACATTCCTTGCAGATCCTAATCTGGCTAATCACCTCTCCCATTACACAGTTAGCAAAAACTCTAGGAAACCAGTGTCTGAATTTGAAGTGATAAGATTCTGATGGTGGGTAATTTCAGATACTCAGGAGAACTGATGAGGAAGATATTTTGGAGTAGAGGATTGAAGATTGTTTCTAGCAGCTTCTTCTCTGCCTTTGAGCCCCACCCCCACAATATACCAAATAGGTTAGTAGTCTTCAGACTTTTTTTTTTTAGGAAGATTAGCCCTGAGCTAACATCTGCTGCCAATCTTCCTCTTTTTGCTGAGGAAGACTGGCCCTGAGCTGACATCCACTCCCATCTTCCTCTATTTTATATGTGGGACGCCCACCCCAGCATGGCTTGCCAAGCAGTGCCATGTCCGCATCCGGGATCCAAACCGGTGAACTCCAGGCCGCCGAGAAGCAGAACGTGCGAACTTAACTGCTGTGCCACTGGGCCGGCCCCCAGGCATTTTTTTTAAATAGACTCCATAACAGAATTTTAAAGAACTATGTACCCCCTTGTTCAAGTTTAAGTTGATATCTAAATTTTCCATCATAAATTTAAATACTTATAGAGGATATAATTTCTGACATTGTAAATTTTGACATTTTAAACTAAAACCATTACATTACTATTAAATGTATCCATTAGACCCAAATACCGTAATATTTGACGCCCATGGTCATCCATTTAAAAATATATGAGCAAGCTCTGCTTTAACAGAAATTTTATATGGTTCCCTTTCTTCTTGAACTCCTAATTCCATTCACTTCCCCTACAGAACTTTATCCTAATTAGTATATTTGTATGCTTTAAAGTCTTTTATTGATCACTGTCACACTTCTTTGCAACAAAAATGAGTATAAATTTAAGCTTATTGTCTGTAACCACTGGCTTTAATTGTTAAAAAGTTTTCTAAACTGAATTGTCATTACAGTTGTTACTAGTACACAATTATTAAAAAACAGAAATATATTACGCATTTTTATAACTTCTTCAACCTAAAAAGTACAATTTTTATTGAAAATGCATCTCTCAAGGAGAAGAATGGTGTTTCTCCTCAGTTAGTTCAGGTATTTATGGATGATTATTACCTAATTGTAGGAGATAAGGTGCAATGTCAATTCTCTCTTTTTTATTTTTATAGACGTAAGCATTGAGAAACCTTGTTCACATAGTAATTGGGGAAGGAAGAGATTTCCTCAAGTGTTTGTACTACTTCTAAATTATATGCCAATAATCACAAAGTGTCCTATTACCAAATACTATTATGTTCTATCAAATAGAGTTCACCTTTAATTTTATTCAAAGCAAAGAATTGGAAACGACTGAACTTGCAAAAGGGTTTGTTATCTAGTCGTTAAAGTCTTAGTTTCAGTCTTATAAAAATGATTGTTAATTATCTGTTAACTTTTCACTCAGAGACACCTTGTTAATCAGATATTGATTTTCATACTCTTTGCCAATACAATTGTTTGATAAAGTTCTTTTATCATTACATGTTTTCAGGATCTTTTTGTTAAAATACTGAACTGCAGTTTCACTTCAGTATGGAAAACACCTGCCATTTATGTAATTAGTAAAGTCAGTCTCCATTTCAAAGCAATCAGCCAAATCAGACTTACTTTCTGTCAGGAAAAAGTCTGACTTTATTTTTCAATTCAAATAAATATATTAATATTCATTTAAAATAGTGTAAAAATCACTGGGAAGTAAATTATTAACTTTAGCTTATAAAATAGGTTACTAAAACTCAATCATGATTAAAATTATATGCATCTAATATTACTATAAAAATTGTAAAAACAAGATAGTACTGTTTCTCATTACATACTTTGAAATAGTGCCATAAAATGTATAGCTAAATCCATTAGTTAATTTATTAAGTGAGAAGTAGGATAGAAGGCATTATCCCCTTGGCAAACGTGGGTATGTGCTTGTGTTGAACACTGATGTTAGACTTTTGGGAACATTAAATAAGAATCACGTATAAAAACCAGAAGTAACTCCAATAGTTTTGTTAGACTTCATGATCAAATTTTCTGTTATGTATTTAACAACAAAGAATGGTATATTTACTAGGAAATAATGGGTTGAGCAGCTAACAATTTCATTTTTTGCTAGTAGGAGGTAGAAAATAGTAAACACTTTATAAGATGAAATAAAAGGACTGATTGTAATGGGAATATTTTGATATGAAGGGAAAAAACAACCTCCTTCTTCCCTGGGTTTTTACATCCTGGGCCACGCATCAAGATTCAGTGTAGTTGAGGGATATGCCTTTATTTTGTAAAGCAGGACAAGGACGATGGTGAAAGAGGGGGTAAAACGGAGAGTGTGCATGAATATGCTGGCTGGCTCTCAAACAGATTACTTTTAGGGAAGATTTCTTATAGAAGTTGAGGGTCTGGAAATTTATTCCCTTACAACTCTCCTCGGATTGATTTCCTTGTCCTCATACCCCTTGGAAAGTCATCACATACCCTTGGAAAATCCCCATTTTAAAGACTGCTTGATATAGGCAGACCCATACTCCACTGGCTGACTATACATTGTTCTGGGACATCATTGCAAGTGTCCTAGGAAGAAGGCATAAGACTTATTTTTGGAATAGAAAAGGGTTAAGAGAGAAGTCAGAGAGGATAGCCCCAAGTTGGTGTAGTTGTAATGGTCCTGGATATGATCCTTAGCTTTGCAGTTCTAGAAAATGATTTTGTCAGTCCACACCAAGGTGTTCATGTTTTGTCACAGTAAATCAAACTCACAAGAATTTAATGTATAAAAGAATGCCGGTGAATTGATTTATACTCGTAGCCACCAAGTAGACTGGATTCTGTCTCTTCTTGGGAAATCTATGTGGAAAGATCAGCTGTACTGTAATCAGAATCTCACATAAGGCTGTGGCTCTTGGGCATGGCTATTGTTATCAAGCTATGATAGCCTGATGCACGATGCGTGGCACATAACAGGAGCTCAGTAATTGTGGAACGAATGCACCTATCTCCTTTATGGATGCTAAAGGGGAAGTTCAGGATTCTGGTAGGCCAACCCAACATATCTTTTGATCAGGTAGATTTTTTCCTTGTTCCTCTTAAATGGCTATATCATGTAAATATTAAATTCCATAAAATTTCATGTCATGGAATTATTTAATTGCAACAATTAAGTTTTATCTATCATCTCTGAGCCTAGAAATTGGGACCGTTCATTTATAAGAGATTGGAGATTGCTTTCCCGTGCCGCATAGTGGTAATGGTGGTAGTGGCTGAATGATCTACATTTCGGAATTGTTTGGTGGCCAAGAGTGTACTGCATAAAAAGAACAACCTTGGGTGACTCTCAGTGCTGGTGCTTTGCTAGAGGTGAGACATTTTAACTAGGGAGGTGTCTGAGCCACCTGGGGCCTGGCTAGATTTTGGGAATTGTACCCTGGTGAGGAGAAACAATACCCTAAATTTCTCCCACTCTTTAGGTCCCCTTCAGGGGATAATTCTTGATACTGCTTTTAAAAATCGACAGAGACAAGCCTTTTCAAATTCTAAAATCACTAGGAATAAGATGGATAAATTTGGATAAATCCTATTTGTCTCCTCAAAGCTTTCTCCAGCTCTAGGATAAGCTATTAAGACAGAGGAAAAGATGCCAGGCTAAGGAGTTTCATTCAGTATTTTAATAATAATAATAATAATAAAAAAGACAATACAAAATCCAAACATTTCTTTTTACAAGTTCAGATACATTTTTTTCCCCAAGTGCAAAATACTCTATGAACTGCATCATTTACTGTTTATTGTTGATTGAGTAGGAGATGCTTACTATATCGGCAGCAGTGGAAGGCAGATATAAATACAACATTTTGAGATTTCTTCTGCATTAAAAAAAAAGAAAGCCTCCCACATGGTAATGATTATTCTCTGAAACTTCAGTTCAACTCATGCAGAAGAATAAAGTTTTCAGTTTGTCCAAACTGCTACAATCTGTGTTGTCTAGATAAGCTGAAAACAGAACTGGGGGTTCTATTCCCTCTAATCATGTATTTTCTTTAAGGGTTCCTAGTCCAAATAATGACCCAAGGACAGGGTGTGCTACCTTTGAGAGAGGTCAAATTTAGAGATGTCCTTGTGTTGTTTGCTTCCACTTTTCTCTTACTGTGCTTAAGAAAGCAAGCCAAGCAGGTTAACCTTATTTTCTGCTTATGGTCTGTTATACTTTGTCTCCCTTCCCTTAGTTTGAGCCTGTTATGTCGAGGTTAAGCAGCAAATACAAAAGGTTGAATACTCTATAACGTTTTCTGGTATTTTGAGATATGACCTCCTAATCCATTCCAGAGTCACCTCAAACATGCATATGGAGAAGACCTCTCACATATAAAAAGTTTCATTAGGGCCAAAGACCAGGATTGTATTACTCAACTTTCAGCAACAAATCTGAGCCCCCACCACCTCGAACTAACTCAGTCCTGGGGAAGTCAGAGCAGTCACAGCGCAATGTCAACCTCTGGGAATTTGTAGACCTGGGGCATGGCAGCTCCAGTCCAGGCTCTGGTCAGTTTTCTCCTGACTCTGAGAGTTCCCTCAGGAATGGGCCTGGCCTAATAATACAGAAAGAGGGAGGCAGAGAAGTAAAAAGGAATTGCCATGTTGCTGAGGATGTAAGTGCCTTTCTGATATGCATCACTTGGCGCTCAGAGCCCTTGCAGAAATGGCTTCCCATCCCCAAACTCAGATCAGGGCAGGTTTTGTATTAAGATAAATGAGGCCTTACAGTACTGTGGCCCTATAAACACCCGGTCCTGCAGAGAAGCCTCTGGGTTGGTTCATGAATGGTTCCCATTTACACCATCTTCCCACTTTCCTACACTGGTAAAAACCTGTTCTTCTGTCTGACTGTAAAGGCTTAGAGAGTCCCTGAGTGTTGACTCCTCATTCAGTCCACTGAACCCCTAGTTTGATGCCCCAGGGCTGGCTTCCTCCATAGGTTCAGCAGCAGCCTTGCCTGGGTTCTTAACCCCCAACTTGGATGACCTAAATTAAACTTGGTGGACATTAGCAGGTCTTCACCTGCTCACCAAGATCTGTCTTGACATCAGTTAAGAAGCCTAGTGGTCTATTTTCCATACTGTGGAAATCATTTGCAGGTCCCAGAAACCATGGAATAAATTGTTGGAGGAAGTGTGTTTATGCATATATATGGGGTGACAGGAAAAGAAGAGAGCAAGGAGAGGTCAGACCCTGAAGGCAAAAATTGGGAAACACTGTTTGGCTTTCTAAGAGAGATGCAAAATGGTAGGGAGAGAGGAGTCAGAAAGTTATCCTAGTTTCTGGTGGAGAATTAGGATGGTCAAAGTTGATTAAAGCAGTTTTCATTGCATTTCCTGGGAAGTGTGGATACTTCTCTTAAAAGACCATTTCCCTGCTGGGAAGCAGACATTTTGTATCTTTACAGTGGAGCCCTCTTTGACCCAGAGACACAAAGGAAGCCAGACCCTCCACCCCCAAAGGCCATGGTGTTGGCTAATGGAGGTCAGGGGATCCAGCTGTGACATTGGCTACCTACTGCCTAAGGCTGTTTTGGCTGGTGAATGCTACTGCTTGGGTTGGGGGGAAGGTCAGACACCTTTCTTTAGTGTTGAATCTCCTGGGGGAGTAGTAGCTTGGGACACTTAGAAGTGAACCCTAAGAATCAATTGGTAACCTTTGATTGGACTACAGTTTTGGGGGAAACTAGGAACAAATGGAAAATAATTTTACAGGCAGCAGTGGATTGAGGGTTGGAGTGTATGCAGGATCTGGGCTTGGGCATGGACTTGATTCTTCTTACTTTTGAAAAGCAGTAGTTGAGGAAGCTAGCCTTGAAGTCAACTCCAAGAGGGAATGGCGAACAGACAGGGGTAGGCAGAGTGGCCAAGGTCAGGCAAGCAACTTCATGCCTGGATAACTGTCCTATTCTTGGCTCTCACAGCCTTGCCTCTGGCCTCAGGGCCCTGAGTCAGCCCATCCCCATGGGGTTTGTCCTGGACGTCTTCCGTGTGGATACCAGGGGAAAACAGGATGAAGGCAGGGAAAAGATGGAGGTTTTCCCTACTTGGGGTGGAGAATCACTGACCAATTCCATAGGCCTCTACAATCACAAGGTCCATACTGAATCCATAGAGAGGCATAGGGATGGCAGGATTGGTTTAGCAAACACAGGTCCCTCTCCTTCCTGCTCCATCAAGTCCCCAGAATTACTGTCCTACACATCAACTGCCTCTGAGCTCAGCCCTGGGTTACCCCAGCGGAGGGCTCTAGAAATCTAGATGGCCACTGGTGGGGGAGTAGGGACAGAGCAGATGCTCCAGCACTCAAGGTTCATGCGATTCAAAATCTTTTTTCTTCCACTCCAAACATACACTCTTCTCTCTTGGGCAGCTATAAATAGGGTTGTTCTAATAGAGGAAAAAGAAACAAAAACAAAAAACAAAACCAGAAAACAAAAACCCCTCCCTTTAGACAACATAGAAAGACTCAAAATGATTGCACTTAGTAGATGTGGACAGGATGGGCAGAAGGCTTGCCAAGTGCACACACATTCCTCTTGCTGCCCATAGCCTGGGGCCAGAGGTAGGTGGCTCTGGGCTGGCTGCAGAGCGGGACCCTCTTTGGTGGAGCCCACAAGCCATCTGGGGCTACAAGGGAAAGACAACTCTGGGGCAAGGCCCAGGCTGGCTTCCAGTCAGCAGCCATGTTTCTTTTAGGACAACACTTCACAAAGGGAATAGGGCTCCCCCAGGGAGCACTCTGGTGGGCGTGAGGGGATGGCTGGGCCAGGGAAGACAAGAAAGGAAAGGGATTAGTGTTTGAGGCTGGCTCCCAATTGTTCTGTAGTCTAGTCCTTTGGATGATACATTTTCTTTTTGTTGTTGTTTTCTTTTTTTTTGGCGATGCTTTAAAACCTGGTTTCTGACCTGCAGAGCCATAGTCTTTCTCTCAGGGAGCGACAGTGGTGCCTTCAACATGGCAATGCCTGCTGTGTTTCTTATTCAGCCAGTGTCCACTAGCCCAGTGGTGTGAGCCTTTTGTAAGCCCTCATGGGTTGGACCTCAGGCAGACATGTGGGGGAAGAAGGAGAGGAGCTCCATAGACAAAAAAGCCGGCTGTGTGGGCGGTCTAGGGCTCAAACCATATGCCCCAGAGGACCAATGCTGGCATTAAGCCTGTAAGTCAAAGCCTTCTTTGGCAGAACTCTGGGCTGTTAGAATCACCCTGGGGGGCAGGGCCAGGGGACATTTTGGCTCCTGACTAGCAAGGCACACCCTAAAATGGCAGAAACCCCTCTTTCCCCTCCCCATTCCGCGCTAGACCCACTTTTTTGTGGGCCTTTAGCACCCTCCAAGCTGATGGGGCCAGGGATGTGAACTGGTAAAATGGACAGTGTTGTTGGGGAGGGGAGGGGGGTACTGTTCCTTCACCCCTCAGGGGGAATAGAGCCAGCACTGAATGGCTTTTCCAGGGAGCATGTAGGAAAAGGAAAACAGTAGAAAGAGAGAGAGAGAGGCAGAGAGAGACAAGGAAACAAAGCTAGAGAGACAGAAAGGGAAAGTGTTTGGTCTATGTAGTGATTTTTTTTTCTCCAAACAGAGAGAGGAGAGAGATTCTCGTCTGAGGGTAGGGACTGCCGGCTCTGAGGGCTAAAGAGTCTGGGGGCTGCAAAACCTGGGTTTTGGGCCTAGGGACACTATTTATAGGGCCTCAGGAAGCTAGAAACTTTGGAGCGGAGCAGCTTGATGAAGGATTTTGGCAGCATCTCCTTGTGCTTCTCTGTGTACTTGAAGTAGTTCTGGGGGTGGGCCAGCACCTCGAAGAAGGCCTTGATGAGCTTCTTGTCCTGCAGAGTATGGCAGGTGGCAACGTCAGCCTCAGTGTCATGGGTGGGAAAGAGGAACACCAGCCTCGACTCTTGATGTCTAATAGGCATACCCTGAGGTGAACTCTGGATTCCCACCCCCACCATCTATTCCTCCTTTAGAATTCTACAACTCAGTCAATGTCAGCTCCATCCCTCCATTGCTCAGGTCCCAATCCTTGGAGCCATCCTTGACTTCTCCCTCTTGCTCACACAACCACAACAAATCCTGTTGACTCTACCTTCAAAATAGATCTAGAGTCTGACCACTTCTCACTGTCTCCACAGCTACCACCATCTCTCACTTGAACTACTGCAATAGACCTACCTGGTCACCATGCTTCTCTCTGCCCTTGTCCCTCTACAGAATGTTCTCCTCTACAGCAGCCAAAGTGTTTAAGTTTTTAATTAGATCATGCCCTTTTTCTATTCAAAACACTTTTCTGATTTCTTTTATCACTCAGCAAAGCTGAGTCCCTTGCATGGCCCATAGGCTGAATGTCGTCTGTGCCCTGCTGTCTCTCCTCTATCCCACCTTGACTTTTCCTTACTCTGTGGAGCCACACTGGCCTTCTCAAGGTTCTTGAACATGCCACCCTACTCCCATGGTCCTTATCTTGGAATGCTCCTCTCTTTATCTTCTCTTGGGTAGCCCTTTACCTCATTCAGATCTCTTCTCCTCAGAGGCCTTTCCTGACCACCCTGTTTGAAACAGCAACATGATGTGGAGAGCCTACTAGGTGCCCGGCATTGTGCATTAGGACTCATGTTCTGGCTTCTATGCTAGTTTTCTTTCCATTGCATCAGCGGATTTTTAAAATAACAGATGGGGCTTCCAGCCTCTCATCCCCACTTTAATCAAAACAGTTCTACTACTTTATGCATTGGAGTTCCACAGCACATTTGAAATAAGGGTTCAGATGCTTTAAAAAATGTTTAAAAAGCATTGCTGAAATTATAGTTTTTGCAGTCTCCAAGTTCTGGGAGATTTTTGTCATTTTGTCTCTTATTTTGATAATACAAAAATTATTTTATTAATCATAAAGATAAAACTTTTTTTTTGCATTGATAATTTATGAAGGATAATACTGTGACTAGGACTATAGTTTCTCAAGCAAGATTTTCTCAGACTGGGATCCACAGACCCAGGAATCTAGTCCATTCTTCAATTTTGGAAACATTTCTTTTCCTTTAAAAGAAGTCTCTACTAAGTTAACTCTGAGAAATGCTGTGCTGGATCTGCTGCTTTTCTGTGGGAGGTGAGGAGGGGGTAACGGAAGGAAGGGCCTTAATGCAAAAGCATCTTTCTGTATCTCATTTTCCCTGTATTTCTCGGTGGAAGAGATAAGAGTCATTTCATCTCCTCATCTCCCTTTTCTCTTCCCCCAAAGTATAAGATAGTGTGGGTGACACTGCAGTGAGATGGGCCTGGGCTCAAACCCCAGCTTTACCACTGGGCAAGTTCTGTAATTCTCTGTGCCTCAGTTTTGTCATCTGTAAAGTAGGAATGAAAGTACCTACTTCATAGAGCTATTGTGTCTATCAAATGAGCATATTCATGTAAGCACTTGGCATACTGCCTGCACATTGTTACATGCTCATTAAATGTTGGCTATCATTATTGTTGCTAATATTCACTCACCTTTAAAATCTCCTGGTGGTTTTCAGAGGCATAGAGCCGGCCATCTCGCACAATGTCTTCTACCAGCTGCTCATAGTCCTCTGCAAAGTCAACCAAGGGGAGGGGCTTAGGGGGTGGGAAATCTTCCTTCTCCCTTTGCTCCTTCCCAAGACCCGTGAGCCTTCTCTTTCTCACCCACCTCCCTGGCTCTCCGGCCCTTGCTCACCATCATAGGTAACATAGGGGATCTGGAAGCCACGGGCGCTGTTTGCCTCGCTTGTCTTGAAGTTGATCCAGAGCTTCCTGGAGCGGGCCGTGAAGGCAATGGGGCGCTCATAGGTCTGGCAGGTCTCATAGGTGGTAATGGAGGATGGGGAGGCTGGGAAGGCAAGCAGCAGGTTAGGAAAGCAGCAGAACAGGCTACCCTGGAGTGAGGGCTCTCGGGTGAAGGAATCATGTTGACAGAGGCTCTCCCTATGCATGCACCTCCCCTACCCACTACATACACATATCCTCTCCCACTGCCCTGGGCTTGTTCCACAACTCTTCCTTGACATCCAGACACTCACATAGCAAAAGAAATTTGACTTTTAAATGAATGGAACAGCAAAAATGTTAGAATAGGAAAGTGACACATGTAACACTATTTGAGTTCTAGTACCAGTGCTGGCTTTCTTAACTCTGCTCTCCACCAAACATGTAGCATTCACTGCTGTTTTCCTTTGTTAGCTTCTCTCCTCCCAAGGTCTCCCTCGTCACTGCCCCAATTCTTCCTATACCAATCTTCTCTCTCCCTCTCCCTCCCAACGATATTTGGACTGCCCATCCCTGGCGCAGCTCTGTAGCCACCCACAGTTCTTTCTCATGACGAGGACATCCCCACACTCGTCCTCAGATGGCAGGAAGATCTCGGGTACCACGATAAGGATCTTGCGCTTGGGTGGGGGGTTGATGTTCCAGATGCACTCCACACCGGCTGGGTAGTTGCCTGGGTAGTTGGGGGACTCGATATAGCCAGTGAACTCACCAAGCTCCCCACCACACTGGCGATCTGTAGCCAAGCCCCAGTGGATAAAGCAAGAAAGAGAAGGGAAGTCAGTAGGGAAATGGGTCGGGGAAATTGAAGAGTTCTGAAGTAGAAATCAGACGCATGTAGATAGCTGTCTTCCTAGTTCATCATGTGTTCTGGGTCCACCTTCCCTCCTGCCCTTTTAGTACCTTCTCATCTCACTTCACCTGTCTCTGCCTCCCCACTACCTGACTCCAGGGAGAGGGTGCTAAAGGGCCCAGCCCAGCAACTAGTCTTGAGACTGAGTGGGCTGGGAAGAGACTGAGGGTGGGACTTGCCTACCCATCTACTCCCCAGCACTGCTCTCTGTTGGTTCACTCCCCCCTGCCCACCCCCTGCTTCTCCCATCCCCACTGCTCCCAGGCCTCTCTACCCCTTTTCCCCCAGCCTAGCCTGCCACGTACTCTTGCACTGGGCCACACTGGTGGAGCCGTCAAAGTCAGTGCTTGTGTTTCCGGGACAGCGGGTGCAGAAGTTCTGACGGAAGTCAGGCTGATAGGAGCCCATGGCACAGCGGATACAGCGATGGATGCTGGTGTTGTAGTAGTGCCCAGGGGAGCACTGGACTGCAGGCGAGGAGGAAAGGTAGGAGTAAGATGGCGGGCAATTGGGAGTTCCGGAGCATGGAATGGGCAGGATGCATTCATCATAGAGAATCAGGAGACTGAAGACACCAAAGTTCCTTCCAGACTCCCAACCTTTCCTAGTCATGCCAGAATTTAAGCCCAGGGAAAAAGAAACTTGACAGAGTGGTTGGCTACAGTGCCAATTCTTTTTTTTCAGGCACCGAGCATTGTGCCAAACCTATACAGAAACTCACTTGTAGTATTGAGGGGAATGTGCCACCAGTTCTCCAAAGGAGATGGGTAAGTGGGACTGTTATTTATTCCCCAATTCCCAGGCTTGGGATTGGTGGAGGGTCAGGATGGGTCCTGTGAGCAGGATAGTATGGTTGGTCAGACAGCTGGGCCTTTCGTGGTTTGGGGAAGAGGGTGGGGCAACATACTTGGGTCCACTCTGGGAACTTAGTGAGTTTTTTTTGGCTATAACTGGGGTTGGGGAGTCCCCTAGTGGGGTGGGTAACCCACTCACCTTTGGTGTCACAGTCTTGGAATGAGATGGCCCCCTCGTGCTTGGTGGTTAGGCCCCCACCACATGGGAAGCACAGGGTCCGTCCAGCTTCAGGTTGGTAGGTGCCACGTGGACATGGCTGGCAGGGCTTGAACCCATCTACAGAGTGTTGGCCAGGTGAGCACTGACCTGCAATGAACCAAGGGCCCAACTCTGATGGGGATGGTCCTGGTCATCCCCATGGGGTCACCCATTCTCAGGGGACAGAGGCACACAAACAGGACATTGACTAGGAGAGTGGCCTGGAGCCTGGGCCTGCCCTTGGGAAATCCCATGCCCATGGGCATCCCAGTGCCCACCCTACCCCACTCTGTATTGTTTGTTCCCCTGGCACCTGCACACGTGGTGATGTTGGTGGCTCCGAGAGGCCCGTGGGCATCACTCCCAGGGCAAAGGTCGCAGGAGAGCTGCCCTTCTCTCTCCTGGAAGGTGCCCGCTGGGCATGGCACACACTGCTCCGTCTGGCCGTGGTAATACGTTCCCTGCGGGCAGCTGACTGAGGGAGAGTCGGCCGTGCTAGCCACCCACCCCCCCTGTTTCCCACCACCCAGGCCTGGGACACCCCTCCCACTCCCCCAGATTTAAGGAGAATCTCCTTGTCTGGAAATAGATAGAATCCTGCTTGGAAGGACCAAGGGCCAAAGGCATGTGTAGGAGGGTTGGTGGCCCCACATGATGTCCCTCTACATTTTAGCCTGGGACCAGGGAGGGGAGGATGATGAGCAGGAGGGTCTTGGCTGCCTCACAGTTTGAGAGATGCAACTGAAGCCAAAAAGTGTCCTGCTCTGAGCCAGGCCCAAGCTGGGCCTTCCCCTCTCCCCTGCTCCCACGTTCCTCAGCAGGCTCCCTTACCACACTTGGCCCCGGCGCGGTGCTGCCCAGGCCTACAGGCTTCCACTGGCTCAGCTCGCTCCCCAGCCACCGGGCCTGGCTTGTGGGCCAGCTCATAATCAAGGCCTGCTAGGCGCAGCAGGAATCGGTCCTGATTGATGGACTTTCGAAGCATCTTCAGGGACCCTTTCAGCCGCCGTTCCATCCGCTGTCGGAGGCAGAGCAGCCCACAGCTTGCTGGTGGTGGATGATGGTATGAGTCAGGGAAGGAGGAGAAAGAAAGAGTGGTTGTCAGCAGGAGGGTAAGGGAGCAAAGCTAGGAGGTAGGAGGGGCATGGTAAGAGGGACTGGCTCCTGGGCTTGGCATTAGGCAGGGTCTGCCCTTAGGAAAGGCTCTGTCCCTTCCCTTTGCTGTTGAGACCTGTGGTTTCCGCACCTCTGCCCTCCTCTTTCCACCCTCCTCCCAGCAGTGCCCCCAGTCCCACCTGTGGTTTCTTCGGCTCTGACCTCTGCCTCCAGTTCCAGGGTAAGCCGAGTGACTTCCTTTCCTGGAGGGGTCCGGGCCCGCCGGCCCTTGCCCTTCCGAGAGGAGTCACACTTGAGGTGGATGAAGGTGACCTGGCAGTCAGAGCAGGGTGCACCACCTAGGGGAGAGGGCTTGTCAACCCCAGGGGCACCCCCTGGGGACAGGAAAAGTTCTCACTCCTAGCTCGCACTTTTCCACTCCAACCCGGACAGACCTCACTAGATCTCTGACTGCAACTATCTCAATTCTCTTTTAGTCTAGGACACATTAATTGGTGGGGGAATATCCTAGGACTTTCTTGGGCCCTCTGCCTACATCTGCTCCCTCTCCTGCTCTATCCAGATTTCAGGGTGCCTGTGGGTTTTTGGAGATCTCCCTAAGCAGAGAAGCTGAGGGGTGGGAAGGGTTTGGTGACCAGACAGCCCATTGGAGTGGGGTCCCCGGTCCAGACCTGGCCCCAGGATTCTGGTGGCATCCTCTGTTTTGCCTTTGTTTCGCAGGTGCAAACGGCATTTGGCATCCTTGATCTTGAAGGAGGCCCGCTGTTTAACTGACAGCACTGCAGCCTCTAGAGGGATGGTAGAAGCTCAGCACAGCCTGGGGGTTCCATGGGGGTGGGGGCTGCTCTGGAGGGTGTTGAGAAGCTGGGCAATAAGCCAGGGGCTTGGCTGGAGGAGAGGGATTATGAAAGCCAAGGGAATCAACATTAGGGGCAGAGGGAGCAAGTCAGCAGGGCTGGAGAATTACAGAGCAAAGAAGGGGATCCAGGAAAAAGGAAGGCCAGGAGGATTAATGAAGAAGAGAAATAGGGGTTAATAAGCAAGAGATTAGGGTGGGTACAGGCCTCTGGGCTGTTACTCACCATGGCAGTGGTTGGAGTTTGTGCTGTTCCCGGTGTGGCCGGCTCGGCCTGGAGCGGCCCTGGGGCTGGGGGTGCCACAGCTTACTGTGAAGCCGTTCTCAGATTCTGAGAGAAGGGAGTTGTCACAGCTTTGACCTGCTCCCCTAACCACCACTGGATGGAGGAATCCAAGGGGAGCAGAGGAGCTGCCTGTATACCAGCCTTACCTCCCTGCCAGCCCTCTAGCAACCTCCTCTATGTACCTGGCAAAAACCGGGCCCGGGAGGGGCAGGTCAGGGCACAGGTGTCCTTCTTGCCAGATCGGTTGCAGCTGAGCATGGCTTTTGAGGCACCAGGACTGCTCTGACACTTTACCGGCTCTATGAAGGGGAGAGAGGCCTGAGGAGGGGAAGGCCTTCCTCTCCCACCCTCTCCCCCTCAGTTGGGTAATTTGGAGGAAGAGAATTAGCTACATGCAGAACTGTAATTGTAAACAGAGATTGATGAAGGGATTATTTACCAGAAACTTCATGTCTTTAACTCAAATGGCTACGTTCTCCACCCCCTACTACCTCATACCTTCCTCAGCATGGACCCCCAACATCCCCCCTGAAACTGCAGTGTCAGCTGCAGCCAGCAGAGGGCGCTGCCCACCTGTGCAATCCTTGCCGTTCCAGTGCAGCCGGCCCTGGCCTGCTGGGCAGGTACACTGGTAGCTGCCAGGAGTGTTGATGCAGCTGAAGCGGCAACCTCCTCGGTTGATGCTGCACTCATCCACATCTGGGGGAAGGAGTAGGGTGACACAGACAAACGATGGTGGGGGAAGAGTAGGAACCAGGGAGCAGGCAGTGAGTGAGGACCTTTGGTTAGAGTTCTAGGCACTCCAAGATGACTACTGGCCTGAGAAGAGCTCAAATCTAAGACCTCTTTCCCTTATCTCTAACCCCAGTCAAAAGAATGGGAAGGGGCCAAGCTGATAAGCTTTTTAAAGCCTTCCACTCCTACCTACCAGTGGGCCTGTAATTTGGGAGCTAAGGATGGGAGTTAAGGGGCAGTGATGGGGATGCAAGACAAATTTTGGAGGCAGAATACTGTTCCCTGATACCCTAGTCTCCCAGTTGTCTTAATTCCTCCCATTTCATCACAATGGATGCAGACATGGCACATGCTCCTGGGGATTGCCATAGCCACAAGCCAAATCAGGGACTTGTTCAATTGAAGGGTGAGAAGCTAAGAGGAGCCAGGTGGCTGAGGGTCCAAATTTGCTGGCTTACCCCCACAGTGGGTGACACCATACAGCAGGTAGCCATGATGGCAGAGGCACTGGAAGCTTCCTGGCATGTTGACACATATATGGTCACAGGTTCGATCAAAGGAACATTCGTCTATATCTGGAAGAGCAAGAATTCAAGCCACTGAATCTGTCTTGGGCTACTTGACTCTGGGACCACTTGCTCAGGTGAAGGGCCCAAGTGAGGGGCCTTGGCTCTCCCCCTTAAATTGAAAGAGTCCCTACTCATGGCCCAGCCCTAAGATCAATGCATACCCATCCCTTGTGCCCTCTCCACTTGGAATCCTTGGAGTCAAGAACTATGAGATCTGGTGTCTATGGGTCAGGGCCACTATGTGTGGTTATGCAGGTCAAACCCTGCCAAGGATATGAATTGGGGTGAAATCCAGTCCTCACTCCTTGCCAAGCCTTGTGCCATAGTGTAGAGCTGGTCCGCCAAGAGGAAGGGGCACATTTGCTAATTCACAGCAGGACTATCTATGGAGACTCACCACAGTGTCTACTGAGTTTCTCAGACTCTGGCACTTCTGGCCTCCTTGAAGCTCATTTATCCCAAGAACTGCTCCCAAGGCTTTCCCCTTGGCCCAAGTCTGCTCACCCTGGCAGTTCCTTTCATTGATGAGAAGCTTATAGCCCTTCTTGCAGCTGCATTCAAAGCTGCCCACTGTGTTGCGACAAATGTGGTCACAGCCCCCATTGTTCAAGCGGCACTCATCTATGTCTGGGGAAGCAGGACAAAGTAGAGAGAATAAAAGGTTAATACTGAATACTGGGGACAAAAAGGAGACAGGATCCTTCCCTCCCTCCCAGAGCCACGGAAAATCAAGGAGAGCCCTGGGCCTGCCCCTTCTGACTCCTCTCAGTCTCCCATTTCCATTTCTTCCCTGTTCAGGGGATCTGTGCCATTATACCTTCTTTCCTGGGACTGAGTCCTCTTAGGAGACAGATGGGAATCAGAGTCAGGCCCTCAGGGAATTGCCTGGAGCAGGAAGTAGGTGGGCATTTGACCTATAGGGCTAGTCCATGCCCCTCACTCCTGATGGCCCTTCCCCAAAAGGCTGGTGAATAGGTTTATCCCTTTCCTGCCCCCCACCCCTGCCTGTCACAGGAGTCCTGGGGGATTGTGGCAGATTCAAAGGGGCAGCCCTTCAGAAAGGAGGAGCTGGGAGAGAGGCCAGGCAGGGAGGACCTCCAGGAGAGCCAGTGAGGCTGGGTAGCTGATGGGGGAGGGGTGGGGACCAGGCAGGGGGCTGGACTAGGAGAGGTCTGGAGAGACTCAGGCCTGAGGCAGCTTTCAGCACTAGGAAGGGAAGGGGGGGACGGGTAAGCGGCTTCCTTCCTGAGGTCAAGTTCCCCAAGCTGGTGGCAGACAGGACCCAGGCTACTCACCCCTACTTGGGGGAGGGGGCAGAGAGGGCAGCCTTCCACTTCACTCTTAGCATACCTGTCAACAGTCCTTCCCAGCAGGAAACCTCTCAACTCTGGCTGTCTGACCTACTGCCCCAGCCCTCCCCCAGTCCTCTCTGCCAGCTGTTGGGCCAAAAGACACAAAGAGCGAGCCCAGTCCTCCTCCCAGTTCCCACTCCTTGTGACCAGGGGACACAGACCTAATGAATCATTATTTTCAGTATGGCTACTCTCCCTTTTTCCTCCCTCCACTCCACCTTTCCCTCAGACCTGGCTAATTAAAAGGAGGGGAAATAGAATGGATAATGTGGGAAATTCTACCATAATAATAGCTAACACAAAGTGTTTACCATTTGCCAGGCACTGTTCTAAGTACTTTATACATAACTTATATATAACTCATTTAATCCTTACAACTTTCCTATGAGGCAAGCACCATTATTACAGTGAAACTGCGGCACAGAGATACTAAGTAACTTGCCCAGGATCACAGAGCTAATAAGAGGTAGAGCTGGGATCTGAACTCAGGTAGCCAGGCTCCAGCATCAGTGCTCCCAAGCACTGTCCTATTCTCCCTCTGACCAGTATAGCCTTTCCACTGGGAAGGTCTGGAGAATGTGGGTTAAGAAACACACTTCTGACCTTGTGCACACTCAATCAGGGCTCAAATATCCTTCTAGACTCAGGGACAAATGTGAATGGCATGTTCATTAACCAAGAGGGTTAGGGACCTGTAGGGGGATAGGAATGAGAGTAGGGAAAACAAGGGAGTGTAGGGGCAGGGGGCACTAAGGAATTGGCTGGACTTTTGTGCCCCTTGAAATGAGATGGGAAAGGTGGACAGGAGATAAGCCTTAGTCATGTCCTCAGTTCTTTATAATAAGGATAGCCTCCAGGGGATTGAGGAGGTCCCATAATAGGTACTCTATCTCTGGTCCCAACCTCAGCCCCTTACCCTGAAGCTCCTGTCCTCTGAAAGCCCTTACCTTTGCACGTCTTCCTGTCTGGCTGCAGCATGAAGCCCACAGGGCAGCTGCAGTGGACACCCGTCGCTGCATCGTGGCACTTACTGTCGCAGCCCCCATTGTTGACAGCACAGGTCTCTGTTTAGGAGGGAGGCAGGGGATGGTAACCGGGTTATCGGCTTGGAGGAGTCCTGAACTTGAGGGTAGTGGAGAGCACAGAGGCCCAAGGGAAGGCCTCGGCTGCCTCCCTGTGCTTTAGAAGGAGCATTAAGCGGAGGCTCCCAGCCCCCTTCCTCCCATCACTCCCAGCCCCCATCCCCTCACAAGTGCAGCCAAGCAGTCCACTTCCCTGCCCCCTACTTGATTGAAACAAGGTGGACAGCAGTGAGGCAGGTACAAGCCAGAGCTGTCAGGCAGGAATGTGCTGAGGGGGTGGAGGAGGTGGAAAGGGGAGGGCGCAGGGAGGGATGGGAGGTAAGTAAGGGTGGCTCTCGCCGCCAGGGAATAAAAAGGGACAGATAGGAGTTTCCTCCTCTTTCCACTGGCTCTCTCTTTGGTAGATGGGGGGTCATGGTGGGGCAATCTTGTGAAGAGTGAGCCTGGTGATTCCTAAGACAGCTGAGGGATGACCACCAGTTCATCTTCCCTTCCTCCCTGCCCAGCTGTCTTAAGAAAGATCTCCCTTCCAGGACTGACTGCTCATCCTCAGAGTAGACAGCACATACTTGATCATTTCTCAACCCCTTCCCAGCTACCTCCAACTCCTCCGGGGCCCTCCTTTTAGTTCCTGATGGAAATAAGCTGGCTGTTCTGTTGTTGTTTTACTCTGCGAATGGGGAGATATTATCTAGGGCAGGGTAGGGGGCAAAAGGAGAAGAAGAATCTAGAGGAGAAGGAAGGGCATAAGAAGGTAGGTGAAAGAGTTAGAGACCCTCAGAGCTAAGTGTCTTCTGAAACCCCTCTTGACTGGTAAGTTTTCCCTTCTATGAGAGGCCAGAGTGAGGTGAGTATGGATGGGTCACTCTCCCTATTTTCTGAATTCAGAGCAGGAGAAAAAACAGGTTTAAACTGCAGCTCAGGAGAGTCAAGTGAGCCCAGGGAAAAACCATCAGCTCAGATAGTGCAAGGCCTGACTGTGGAGGAGGTGGAGGCCATCCTCTGGGGGCCTAGAATTCTCCCATTAGAGAGAGACAGTCTGGAGGCCTCTGCTAGGGAAGAGAGGAGAGTGGCTCTCAGAATCAGGGGAGCTGAGTGAGAAAAGCATTGGAGAGTACTATCATCTTCTTGAATCTCTGACTCCTAAGACTCAGGCCCAACCCTTGTCACTGAGGAGACCAGCAAGGCAAGGAATGCAGCGCAAGGCCAACTCTGCCTGTGGTTCCCTGGTCATGCCTGGTTTGGGAGCAGCCACAGTGGGATCTCCTATGTGCCACTCCCACCTTTATCACTCCTGAGGTTCCCCAAGACCATGGAAGAATCCCCAAGCCCAGCCACTCCCGAGAGTGCTCTTAGCATAAGATGATGTCCCTCAAGCCCTGAGCAGGGAGAGGGGAACAGAGATCCTGCGCCAAGTCTAGGTTGATTCTGAGGAATCCAGGATGGGAAGCAACAGAGCTGGCACAATGTCCACCCCAGGCTGGACCAGGAAGCTGGGCATAGCTGCCCACCCCTGCAGGGCAGCACTCTCCAGGGCAGGGTTGGGGCAGCAGGATGGCAGCGCCTCAACCCTTTGTTATTCAGGTCACAGTGTTAAAACCAAAGTTACTCTGTGCTTAGTCTGTGGCAGGTGCTTACTAGATGCTCTGTACGCATTATCTCAATCATCACAGCAACCCCAAGGGAAGACTCTTATTCTCCCTGTCTTATAGAAGAGTAAACTGAGGATCAGAACAGAAAGTAGCTTGCTTGAGATCATATGGTTAGAAGGTGGCAGAGCCAGTATGCAAACTCAGATCTGTCTGAACTCAAATGTCATGCTCTTAACCATTATGGTGGGAGAGAATGGTGAGTGATGCTGGGACTGTGAGCTTATGTGGGTAAGAACCTAACAAAGAAGCCCCAAGGAGGGGATGGCATCTCACCCTATCCCACCCCTATCTCAGGTGGCACAGTGGGCATGATGGGTAAGAAGGAGCTGGCTGGGTCTTTAGCTGTGTAGAAAGCAGAGAGAGGGAGTGGGCAGATGGTTGGGAAGGGCTGAGGTGTTAGAAGGTGGCTGAGGGAGAAGGTGGGAGGAGGGAGCAGGAGAGGAAGGAGAGAAAGATTGTGACAGGATAAAAAAAAGACAAAACCAACACGAAGGCTCCAGGGCCAGCTCGTGGGGACTCAGGTTTTCTGTCACCCATGGGCCCAGTACCCAGGCTGCCAGGCGAGCCCTGCTGGCAGGCTGGAGCCCAGTCAGACTGGGCCCAATGGGCATGCGGTTAGTGGGAGCCCCAGCGGGTTAGCCCTTCCCCTAGCAAGCCAGTGAGAGCAAGCGGAGAGAGCAGACATATTTACCATTAGAAACGGCCTGAGGGGGGATGTGCTGCTCTAGCCGCCTTTCCCCTGTTTGACATTGTAAAAAAGCTGTTTAGATGCTGGGCAGGAGCCACTGTGGCCCACTGTGCCCCAGCCCCCTTCCAACCCTCCTCCTCCGCCCTGCAGGCCCAAACCACTAACCCCAAGTGATGAGCCCTGAGACTCCTACATTTCACTCCCCAGCCTTGTCCTGCCTGGTATCCTCAGGGAAGCTAGGCTCCCACCAAGTGACTGATAGGAAACCGAGTCTCAGGGGCAATCATGGGCCCAGTACCACACAGCATGCCAAAGGCACAGCTGCCAAATCCCAAATCCCAAAGGGTGCCTACCCTACCTGCTAAATTATACTGCTCTTTGTTTCCCCACTAAATCTGAATGTCCTGATGGCCCCGAACAATGAAGTTTCCTCCTACCAGGGCTGGGGAGAAAAATGAGATATAGGGCAAGGTAAAATAAGTTCTATTGGAGAAGAGGGAGAGGAACTCAGAAAGAACATAGCTGTGAACCCTAGAACTGCCTCATTTGCTCTCCTACCTCACTTGGCTGTGGCCTGGAAGGCAGAATGGGTCTTGCATTAGAGAAAAGGTCAAGCTTAATAGGGATATTTTCAAAAGCAGCCGTGCCCAGGACTATCAGAACAGAAAGAAACCAGAGAGGGACCCGGCCCCACATCCATGGGCTCTGAGCTCTGTCCTGATACATGCAGCTTTTCTTTGGGGACTGCATGCAGTTTCTTTGGGGAGACTCTGGGGCTGTGTGAGTGTGTCCAGGGGATGGAGGGAGGTTTAGAAAGCGGAAGAATTAGGCTTATGAGGAAAAATGAAAGGAACTGGGACAAACCAGCCTGGAGAAGGCAGCCTGAAGACCTAAAAATGTTCCAGAATCTTTGAAGAGTTAGTCTAGGGGAAACATGTAACAGGAGAGATTTTAATTACAGAAGTTTAGAACCGTGTGTGCAAGTCTCAGGAGCCGGTACCTGGGGGAGACCTTTAAGAGCATCAACTGCTCCCCTGTTCTTGTGTCTGGGGGCAAGGCAGTGCTGTTTGCAGAAATGGGGTGGGTCTCTGGAGTGAGATGGGGGAGAGTCTGGTTCTTAGGCTGAATGTCATGTCTCTGATATACACACAGAGTGGACTATGTTCACACCTCCCCATCCCCAGCATGTTGTAGCCCATGAGACGAACGGCCATCCATAAATATTCATGCCCACAGAACAAGCTCGCTCCCTGCTTGGCTCAAGACACAGCCTTTCCCCCTGCCCAAACTCTTCCCTTTCAGTTCCCACTTCTCCAAGGGGACACCTTATCCCATCATCTTTCTCAGCCCTCTGTGAGCACGTAGTAATTGGCCTTCAGGAAAGACCTAAAGATTTAGGGAATTAGGAATTAAACTTAAGGAATTATATTCACCTATGGTACCTGACGATATATGAGGTAAGGCCTAGGAATTCAGGAAAAGGGGTCCAGGTGTTAAGAAGGCCCCAAACCAGGGCAAGAAGGATGGAAGGCTGGAGTTGGTGAGGACATGAGGGGACAGGCAGAGCAGAGAGGGAATACCGCTGGAATGTGGAGGAAAGAGAAGGAAATAGGGATTAGGATGAGGGGAGTGGAAAGGGGATTTACAAGAGGAGAGGGAGGAGAGAAAGGATAAAGAAGAAAAAGATACCTGGAGTCAGGAAACCCCATTTGTCAGTTCAGGGCTAGTTGTTCCAGGAAAGAGCACTCTGTCCCACCCTCAGTTCCACAGTGGACTTTGATAGCTCCCATCTTGCCACACTAGTCCAGCAGGGCCTCTGGTCTGGCTTAATCCGCTGCATTGCCCCAGCTCTCCTCCTCCTTCTCAACCACAGCCTTAGTCAACAAGCACCCTGCTAATTATTCCCAGTTTGACAACACTTTATCCTGGATAAAGAGGATGGTAAGGCTCCTGGGGGTGGGGCAGTGGAACCAATGGGTCTGGGAGGAGAAGAGGGTCAGGTGAGCCTTTCAATCTTTCAGAGTTGTCCCTCACTAGATCTGGCATTGTCTGGGTCTTCAACTCACTCACCAGTCACTCTGCACCCAGTACCTGGGCCCCATGTGCTACCCCCGTCCCCTGGTTCCCAGGGTCCCCTAGCCCCACCCCCACCACAGGTGGACTGAGTTCTCCACTGGCCTCACCCACCGATGCATGTTTTCCCGTCGGTATGGAGCACAAACTTGACATGGCAGCCACATCGGGGACCCTGTTCTGTGTCATCGCATGTGTGCTGGCAGCCACCGTTACCATAGTTGCACGTCACTGTGTAGAGAGGGCAGGAGGCCTGTCAGCTTGCTTCTCCCTGGGTACCGTAGTTCTCCATAACACGGATACTGGCCCTCTTATCTAGTTGCCTCTCCCATGCTACCTTTTCCTCCCACCTCTTGCTGCTGAGCCCCCCACACCCCTCCCCTTCTCCCCCACTGCCATCCCAATGATCTCACATTTACAGTCCCGTTGGTTCTTGGTGAGCTCGAAGCCAGGGCGGCATTCACAGGCGATACCCCCTTTTGGTGTCTCCCGGCAAATGTGAGCACAGCCATGATTCTTGTTCATGCAATTCATTCCTTCTAAAAGGGAAGAGGTGGGCAATGAACACTTTGTAGTCCTGTACACCTAGAGGAAGAAGAACTAGAAGGGATAGTTTGGGCCAAGGGAAATGGGAGAATTCCACTGGCTGCAACAGAGAGGAGACTGACTCTTCCACTCACAGGCCCCCATCCTGCCCACAGAGCTGGGTGCTAAGGAGCAGAGCTCAGAGCCATTCTGAATGATGTATAGGTATTGATACCCAGCCCCAGGAAAACTTACATGATCACCCTCTCCTTCAAACAACAAAAAAATAGTGTCTAGGGGTACTGGCCCAGTGGTGTAGTAGTTAAGTTCACATGCTCTGCTTCAGTGGCCCAGAGTTTACTGGTTTGGATCCCGGGTGTGGACCTACACACCATTCACCAAGCCATGCTGTGGTGGCATCCCACATACAAAATAGAGAAGATTGGTGCAGATGTTAGCTCAGGGCCAATCTTCCTCACCACCACCCCCCCCACACACACACACACAAAAGTGCCTAGGTATTGTACTAGGTATTGGGTGGATTTAGGAAGGACCCAGAAAAATATAAGATATGATCTCTTTCCTCAAGGAGCTTATAGTCAAACTGGGAAGAAGATAAATAATATTTACAGTGTGAGTGGGGAGTAATTGGTACAGATGATTACTATATGATTTTACTCAAAAAATATTTATTAAACTCCCACTAAAAGCAGGGAAGAATATTAGGTTCTGGGGATACAAAGATGAATGATATAGTCCCTGCCCTCAGGGGGAAAGGGAGCAGAGTCTGGGGGGGAAGGGAGCAGAGTCACAGAAACAGATAACACATACCCCACTATTCCTGCCTGACCCTCCCAATCCAATCTAAAGAATAAGGCATCAGTGAGGCCCTCTCAGATAACAGCAGCTTAGAGCTCAGCCATCTACAATTAGGAATGACATCCACCTTGGGTCTGGACACAGAGGATGCCCCACAGTAGCCTCAGTCCCACACTGACCCCAACCCCAAATGAATTCTCCCAGATTTTGCCCTAACACAGAGTGTCTGTGCATGGAGCCTTAGGATGTGATTGGGTTGAGGGACAAGAGAAGAAGGAGCTAGCAGAGTTGAGAACAGAGGGTGAGACCTAGGGACTACTGAAGGAAAGCTCCCAAGAAGACTGAGAGAGAAGCCTGGGAGTGCAGGGCTGGGCCCTCCTCGGTCATGGGCTGACCTTCCGGCCGCTGGATGCAGGTGTGCTGATTGTCGCTGAGGAAGAAGCCTTCCCGGCAGTGGCACTCATAGCTGCCCATCATGTTGACACAGCTCTGCTGACAGCCGCCGTTGCCCTCAGCACACTCGTCCACATCTGTGCAGGATAGGTGGTTGGTGAGGCCATGGGGTACAGGTCAGGTCTAGCATGTACTCTGAGACTTCAGCACCAAGGGCTGAGGGCAGTCTTCAGAATCCAGCACACCCGACCCCACCCCCAATCTAACACCCAGCCTTAGGCCAGGCACTTCTCACCCGCTAATCAGCTAATGTTCCACTGCTCATGAAGAGGCCACCCTAAGAGGGCAGAGCTGCGGAGCTAAGCAGGTGGGGAGAGGACATTTGAACATGGCTCACTTAGGTGAAGAGTTGTCCCCCTTTTCCTAACCTGTTGAAATTGGGCCTGAGGGTAGAGGAGACCAGGAAAAGAGCCAGAGCAAGAGGAACGGAGATGAATATGAGAATGGAGATTGGTTGGGGATAGGAACTGGGGGCAGCTGGTTGTGATGAGCAGCCAGGGTATCAGAGAACCTGGGAAAAGACTCAGTGTGCAAGGAGAGCTATGGCCATGGTGCTGAGGTCAGAGGGGCAGGGTGGGGAAAGGCAGCAAGCTTCAACTCCTTGCAGGGCAGGGACCATTTCGATGGACAGGCCACAGCTCCGTCCTTCCTCTCCTCCCCCCCATGCCTGGGCTTGCTGCCATATTCCCTAGCCTTTCTCCTATTTTGGTTTAACAAAACAAAGTCTGGTAGCTTGGCGGGGAAGGGTGAGGGGAGAGCTGCCAGGCCACACCCTAATCACCACCTCAAATCACCACCCCCAGGTCCCAGAGCCAAGCTCATCCTGGGGTTCCCACTTCAATGCCTTGACTCCATCTCTATGCTACCTCCTGCCTTCCCAAGTCCACAGCCCTTCTCAGTTTTCCTTGGCCCAGGACATATCATGGAGATTGGTCCCCAAATGGAGCAGCTGGAACCTAGACTTCTGAGGGCCTCATCTGCTCCTCTCTTCTCATCCTCTCTGCTGAGCCCTGAAACCCTGACCTTTCTCCTTCTGGCCAAGGGCAGAGGGGCCGGATCCAGCAGGCCCCTGCCTAAGAGATACACCTTTGGGAAAGCCAAGGAGTTAGACTTTCCTTTGCCTTGTTCCTGTCTCTGCCCTATCTCTCACTAGACCCCTGACTTCTCCCCATCCCTGTCTTCCTGTTCTTACCCCATCCTACATTCCATCCTTCTGTTTGCTCCCTTCTGTTCCAACCTTGTGACTTTGCTATTCTAGCCAAATTCTTTCCTCTAATTCTCGGTGGGGAAACTGAGGCCCAGGGCATAGATGACTTACTCAAGGTTCCCTTAAAAGCCAAATGTAGGGTTAAGACTTTGAACCCCAACTCTAGGGTTAGGGTTAGATAGACCTTTGCTCCCCCTTCCATACCTACTCATTCTCTTATCCCTCTGGTTAGTTTTCCCCAAAATACTTATAGGAAAACTAGACTTGGTGAAAATTGGAGGCCTAGAAAAGTCAAAGAACCAAAAGAACTCAGAAACTGATGTTTGCAGTCCTGGTCCAAGTTTCACAACCTCTTCTTCCCAAGGAGTCCTCAAAAAGGACCCTCACAGGTGACTGGACAGATGAGTAGTGAGGTCTTTCCTTGGCAGCTACAGTGGTAGGAGAAGTGGCCAGGGGTAGGGGAAGGGCCCAGCAGGATCAGGGTTTAGAGGCCTGAGTTGGGAGCAGAAACCTATAAGCCTGGTCCAAGGATGGAATGTCACTGGGTTTGGAGGTATCTCTAGTAAGGAGGCTCTCCTAGGTCAATGGGACCTCAGATAATTCATCTGTTTGTTTAGGTGGGGGGTGGGGAAGCAACCTAGCCTGCTTTTCTGGGCATCATTTCTCTTGCTTTTCTTTCTTTACTGGTCTTCTATTCTTCTAATCTCTTATTTTTGTTTTGGCACCAGAGAGAAAGAATTTGGGGAAAAACCCCTGGGTTCACATCTCAAACCTTTTTTCTGCTATAGGCTTCAGTTTTTCTACTTGAGGAAGAATCTGACATGGTCCCAGTAATTTTCCAAAATGATACAGACCAAAGTTGAGTTTAGTTCCCTAGAGATTCTCCTATCTCTGATCCAGCTCCTGGGGCAAAGGAGATCAGGTCGCAGCCTCAGAAGTGAGGAGGGTGAGCCTGGAGATTGAAGGAGGAGCTGGGAGAAAACCAGCCTTTAAGGATTACAGGCTCCCCAGGGCACAGGGAAGCACCAGCAGCAGCATCGACAACATTCCTCTCCTTTATTGAGCACCCACTGTGTGCTTAGGATAGTACAGGGCTCTCTACACATGTTCTCTTATAGTGATTCACTCAGCACCCCTCTGAGTGGGATATTACTATCCCCATTTTAGAGATGAGGAAGCTGAGGTTCCCATAGACTAGTTGATTTGCCAAGTTGAAGGCCCCACAGCTAGTAAGCAGCAGAGAGACCCAAGATCTGTCTGAAGCTAAATCACCTTCCCACCACACTCCACCCTCTGCAGCTAAACCTGCTATTGTCATCTCCTGGCGCTTGCCCTGGGAGCACTTTCTAGCAGCATCTCCTCTGACGTTTTTCATCCAGCAGCAGGATTATTTCATTTCAGCGCCCAGTCTCAAAGGGGAGGCTGACCTTGTTCTCTATTTTGTGGGAATGCAGCTTTTTGATCACTTTCCTCTCCTTGCCTGGGAAATGGGAAATGTTCCCCACAAGACACCCCTACCCACATCCCTCTCCCTTGCTTACCCAGACAGTTGTGTCCGTCATGTGCCAGGTGGAATCCATCATAGCAGGTGCATCGGTAATTGCCAGGGATGTTGACACAGTCGTGCACACAACCTGCATTATCCTCTCGTTCACACTCATCCACATCTGTGGGCAAAGAGGAGCTGAGACAGCTGGACCCACCTGCGTGCCCCCCACTGTCCACCCCCGTGCTCCTCCTTGTGGTGGTTTTTGTAAAAAACATAACCTGCATGTGCGTGCGTGTGTGTGTGTATTTACAGTTACTTTCATAGCATACAAATCATTTTGTATTTTGTAATTCTCAATTAAACTTGTCATAAACATTTTCACGTTTCTACCCAGTCTTTCTAATTACCACTGTACATGGTTGCAGAATATTCCATTCTGTTGCTATATCATAATTTATTAATCCTTTTTCTCTATGGTTAGATTTTTTTCCCTAAGACTGGCACCTGAGCTAACAACTGTTGCCAGTCGTCTTCTTTTTTTTTCCCCTTCTTCTTCTCCCCAAATCCCCCCAGTACATAGTTGTATATCCTAGTTGCAGGTCCTTCTAGTTGTGGCATGTGGGACGCTGCCTCACCGTGGCCTGACGAGCGGTGCCATGTCCGTGCCCAGGATCCAAACCAGTGAAACCCCGGGCTGCCGAAGCAGAGCACGCGAACTTAACCACTCGGCCGTGGGGCCGGCCCCAGATTTATTCCATTTATTTTACCAGCATAAATAATGCATCAAAGAACATCTTCTCCCATATATTATTTTGTTTCTTTGAATTTCCTTTGAATAAGTCCCTGAGAGTAAAAATTCTTGGGTCAAAGGATAGAAATACCTTTTAAGATCCCTGCTAGGTATGACAAAACCACTTTTCAATTTATAATGTCACCAGGAATTAACAAGTGTACCTTGTCCACTAAAGTCTTACCAAAACTGAAGGTCATAAATTTAAAATAACATCTCAAGACTGCTTTAATTTGCGTTGCTTTAATTATAAGCGTAAGATGTGTTTGTTTATGATATGAATTTCCCCTGGGGTAAACTGTCTGTTCTCATCCTTTGTGGGCATGGTATAAGGGTCTCAGGATGGAAGTTCCAACATCAGGGAACCTCAGGCTTTAGTCCCATGATTCTAATCCCCCACCCAGCCAAGCTGTATGGCTGTGAACTACTCCCACCAGGGCCTCAGTGAGCCTATATAGTGCCTTTGTGCTAATTAGAAAATGGCACCCTCTCTGGGAAGAAACAGCTTCTCCTCCAACCCTCATCCCCATGCCAGTGTACTATGGCCAGCTGAGGGCAGTGGCACTGGTTTCCCCTCTCCAGCAGGTCCCCCTTCTTCAGATGCCCTTGCAGCCTCACCTTTGCAGTGTTTACCATCCCCTGTGTAGCCAGACTTGCAGATGCACTTGTATGACCGTGGGGTGTTCTGGCAGATAGCATCGATGTGGCAGCTGTCCGTCCCCTCCACACATTCGTCCACATCTGGCAGGGACAGAGGAGGCACATGAGACCCTCTGTCGGTGCCTCCCTCTCCTCTAAAATAGAGACAGTGATCCCTCCAGAAGCAGGTGCTCTCCCACAACCCTCTGACTTCACAGTGGGCTGACTCTGTAATTTCAGGAATTCAGAAAGAACCCCCCTTCCCTTCAAAAATACTTAATCCACAATGACAGCTAAAATTCCATCATTTGAAACACTCCTCTTTGATTTAAAAACAAAACACCCTTGGACTGGATAGCACACTTAACTTGATTAGAAATATTCATTCTAGTGTGAATGTTTTCCTTTCTTAGGAGCAGGCTTAGGGGGTGGGGGAAGAAAAAAGGCAGGGCAACAGTGGCCTCTGGGAAAGTGGCAGGGTCCAGCAGCCATTGGTAATTAAAGGAGGAAGGAAGGGAGACAGGGTATCTGAGGAATCCTCATCTCCCTCACAATTCTGCTTGAGACCAGGCCTGCTCTCACTTGCCCACCATGGCGCCAAGAATCTTTAGAGGAAAGAAGTTCCATGCTGGAAGATTTCCCTTGGCCCCTATGCTGTCAACAGCGGAGGGACCAGGAGCTGGCAGGGCTGGCACTAGCAACCTGAAGCCTGGTAAGTGCAGCCCTTGTGGCTCTCCAGCTGTCTCAGGCAAGCCCACCCATCCTGCCTCCCTGAGCGCTTTCATCTCACTCCAGGTGCTCTCTCTCCTGGCCCTTGCTCTGACACCAGGTGCTAATCACAGAGCTATGCTAAAAGAAGAGGTCTCCCAAGGTCTAGCAAAAAGGATGGTTCAGAAAGGACATAGGAAAGAGTCATTTATCATCTTGGGCAAGAGTCCAACTTTTGGGGCAATGTTATGATGCCCAGAAATCTGAACTGAAATAAGGAAAAATGTTTCATTCAGTTGAAAATGCTTTATAAAGTGTGTTTGTGAAAGGTGCTATGCTGAAGGCTGTGGAGGCTCAGAGGTGACTCAGCCCAGCCAAAAGAAGAGACAACTAAGTAACGTGAAGCAGGATGGGGTTGAGTGCCAGGAAGGCATTAGAGATAAGGTGAGGGGGTCCCCAACTCTGGCTGCACATCAGTCAGCTCCCCTAGGAGATGCTCAAGCGCCACCCCTAGAGGTTCTGGTCCCCTCTGGGGTCTGGCCATCAGTACACTTCTAAAGCTCGCCAGGTGAGTCTAATTGCAGCCAGGCTTCAGAATCTGTGTTCAAGGGAAGATCAGAGGAGGAAGAGACTACTTCTGGCTGTGAACTGGGAAACTCAAGATAATGTGTAAGTAGCAACCTGCAAGTAAAATAAATGGGATTTGAAATCAAGACTAACTTCCAAGTGTGATCTGTGGACAGCAGAATTGCCTGGCTTTTGTTAAAATGCAGATTCTTAGGCCTTATCACTGACCTGTTGAATCCAAATCCTAAGGTGCTTGATACATTTTTTACTGAATAAGTGAATGACTGGACCAGTAATCGCTTCAATTTATAGACACCTATGAGTGCTCGCTGGAAACAGTTAACTGTCCTCTGCTTTCATATTTCAAGAAGTACTTCAAGGTCAGGACTGAAGCTTCCTGGGGCTAAGAAGAGAACTGAAATTTGGAAGAGTGCCCCCAAACACCCTGCCTCAAATCTCTCAGGCTTCTCTTCAGCTCTGCACTCTACTCTCCAACTCTCTTCAATTCGTCTGCAGCAGCCCACTACACCCAGTGATTCTAACTGCTGTAATTCACACTTCTCTCCACCTCACTCAGGCTCTGCAGTCATGCTGTCTGCCTGCTGGCCCACTCTTGGAAGTTATCCCAAAGCGAAAGAGTGGAGAAGAGGGGGCATGGAAGACCAGTTCATAAGAACTTTTCCAATTCTCCTATCTCTTCCTCTTAAAATGGGGATGATAAAACCTCCTCATGAAAGGCTGTGAACAGTTGATGAGATAATTTGTGTAAAGTACCTAATAAAATGTCTGGTAAATAGTAGTTTACCCGTAGTTTCCATCCCAGTAGATGGAAGTGTCAGATAAGTATTAAATCACTGATTCAGACAGCAGATGCTCTAGGAATGTGCTAAGATGGTAGCCACTAGCCACATGTGGCTATTTAAATTTAAATTAATTTAAAATTCAGTTTCTCAGTTGCACTAACCACAGGCCAAGTGCTCAATAGCCATACGTGGCTAATGGCTACCACAGTGGACAGCACAGATCTGGAATATTTCCTACCTCATAAGAAGTTCTGTGAGATGGTACTGCCTTAGGAGTTCTCAATAAGGGTTACCCCTGGACCTGGGTGGACCAAAAAAACTTCCTGAGGAGTGAGATCACGGTTGAATTTTGGAGGTTGGATAAGCATTATCAGAAGAGGAAAGAGAAAATTTCAAGTGTGGTTAAAGGCATGAAGAAAGGCAAGGCACTCAGAGGTCCAAGCCCTCCTTCTTGTCCCCATATTTACACATGCCCTCCATGGTGGGGAAAAATATTTCTTAACTAGTTCCAATCTCTGAATGGCCTAAGGCTTAGTTTTATATGTTCTTGTCTGGTCCCTGGAGGAGGAGGGACTGGATGATCACCCCCTCCTCTGTGGTAACCTTTGTGAGTTTTAGAGGCAGCATGAGTCACTGGACAATCCCAGTGACTAATAATCATCCTGTTCATCCTGCTTTGAGCTCTCCTCCTTCTGTCCCTCTCCATCCCTTCCCCAGAAGCCAGCAGGGCCACTTGGAAACTCACCTGGAAGCTCCTTCTCTCGAGCCATCTCAGGGGTATACATGCCCGTCTCTGAATTGGCTGGTGCTTCACTAGCATCTGCATCAGGCTATCTGGGCTCCCAGTTCTTTCCTTTGCCTCCAATTCAATGCTTACCAGTACTAGAGTGGACCCTGATGCTGACTGCAGCAAACTAAGACTTCCTGGCAGGGCCTTTAGACCCTTCCATCATCTGGGCTTTTCCCACCATCTTACCCCTCTTCCTCGCTCACTAGGCTTATCCCTCTTCAGCAAAGGGTCTCTGCTCTGGAAAACTTTATCTCCTCCCTATTCCCTCTACAACACCTAACCGTTCTACTACCCCTTTTCAGACATTCACACACGTCTCATTCTTCACATTTGAGATGCAATCCTCTCGTTTCTCTTCTAGCCACACTATGCCCAGCTTCCCCAATCTGGCTCAAAATTGTCTTCCCAAAAGCTCTTCCTGGTAAGCCCTATTCCTGGTGATTCCTGGGTCTAGGGCCTCAGTTTGCCTCAGCTCAACTGCAGCTCTTTCTGAGTTGCTTTGCTAATGCTCTAAAGCCATCTCATATGGCATGTTCAGGTTTCCTCACTTGGCTGGTCACTCACTGAGGAAGGGACCCTTCAGCTATTTGGATGGAATCTTTTGAAGCGAAACAGACCTAAAACAGAGCTCTGAAACAGGGCCCCAAATTATATTCAGCATCTCCTCCCTTTGCCATTCATTCTTTCAGAGCTCTCTCCCTCCACATCTGCCCACCCACAATTTGTTCGTGCAGGGATCCCTTCTACACCCATGGGCACAGTCTCATCTTAGCTCATTCTCTCAGGGTGCAGGTGTCTATTGCTGACCTCACAAATGAGTGGATGCTGTTGGGCATGGACTGGTTTAGACCTGGTTGCACACTGGGATTCCTTGGGGACCTTTTGAAAACTGTGAGTGTCCAGGCACTCTCCTAGACCAGCTGCATCCAGATCTCCAGGGTGAGGCTGGGCTGCTGTCTGTCTTCCCTTCCCAACTCAGGTAATGTGAATGGACTATTTGCCCAAGCTGGGAAGAGACCAGGGGCAGCAATGTGACTGAGTGTTTGAGAAAGGGAGTTCTGGACTGATACTGTGTCACTTCAAATGCCAGCTCCACCTGTTTCTGTGTGGTCCTGAGCCAGTCTCTGAATTTATCTGCTCCCTCCTCTGTAAATGGGAATAATAATAATAGCACCTCCTCATGGGGCTGCCAAGAGCATTCAAATGAGTGAATACTTATCAAGTACTTAGCACTGTAATGCAGCCATATAGTAACTGCTCAATAAAGTTTCACTGTTTTTATTCCTTTTCTCCAGCTTCTTCCTCAGTATCCTTTCTGAACCCCTCTCTCCTCCCTGCTCCCCCTTATCAAAGTCCCATTTCAGGCCTGGTTTGGGGAAATGCAGCACCAGGGGAGCATGTGATGGTAAGGGAATTGTGGGGAGACACATCCCTGAAGGTACCTGATCCACTGCCTACTCTACTCATGCTGGGAACTGCCCAAGGAGGAGGGTGAGGTGGGTGAGAGGCCAGTTGGGAACCAAAAAGCTGCCCTCCACAGTCCTTTGTGAAGGCCATCCTTTAGTGCCCTTAGCCCCACCCCAGGCACTGGGCTAGATCAAAAGCTGAGTTGGGGGAGAGTGGCAGCTGCAGAGATAGCACAGATGAAGCAAGACCTTCCTGCCTCACCCTCTCCTGGCATGAATGCACAGGTCTGTAGCTGCAATAGCTTTTCCCAGTGCCATCTGACATTTCTTCTGGATTTGCTTCAGCGCCTAGCAGAGTGCTCCATAAACTCTGCTAAATGTAGGGAGGAAAGGTGGGATGGGGGTGGGGGATACAAGGGTTAGAGAGCAGACCAGAAAGGGGGGATTATTGTAACATAGGCAGTCCTAAGATTCCCTTCTGAGGATGGGGAAGTGTACCCCAAAAGGGAAGCAGGAGGACTCCCAAGGAAACACTTCTTCTACTTCAAAATTTTGCCCAGGTCCAGTTCAGGAATAACAACAAATGGAAATGAGCAGGACTGCAGGCTGCAGATAAGCAGACACCCCTAGGTAGAGTCTAGCCCACCTTTACATTACCACAGTAGTTATCTTGCCTGTCACAGGGGATGGGCAAATTTGGTGGGCCCAATTTGGTGGGTCCAAAGCAGCCTGCCTGGTATCCCAATGTGTCCACAAGCATGTGACATCCTTCTTGCCCCAGCCAGGTTAACCTAGGATGTTTGTGTGCCTACCTCTATTTTCCTCTCC